AGCTGAATGTTAATTATTTAGAGGGAAAGGGTTATAGCTGATATTTTACTAGTAAAAAGAATTAAATATATTTGTGTGTTTACATTTACAACGTTTCTGGTCTTTTTGTACCTGAATCTTTCTTCTCTTTGCTTTCTATTTTTACCCTATTCTTGATCTGCTCTCCACACGATTCAATAAAAGTATTCTTGTTCAATACTTACAACTCTATCTCTGCTAGCAGTGCAAAAGAGCTGTGAAAAAGAAGTCCAAGGTTGGATAAGCTATGCCCACCAGTTCTTGTAGGACTGCAACTTCCATAAGCTTTAACCAGTATTGTCAAAGGTGTTGCTGTGCGTTTTCAAGTCATTTCTGACCTAAGATGACACTAGAGCAAATGTATCATGACATTTTCCTGGCAAAATTTATTCAAAACTGCATTATTTTTGAGCTGAGAAAGTAACTTCCCAAGGTCTCACAATCATTTTCCATGACTGAAAGGAGATTCGAACCCTGGTCCCTTCAGAATCCTAATCCAAAACTCAAAACACTATATCTTGCTGGCTCACTATAGCCAATGCTGAAGGTTAATAGGAACTGTAGACCAATGCCGTCTGAGTATATGTTTCCTCTTAATCCTGCTTTCTGACATCTGCAATGGAGATTTGTTTTCTTTTTATGCTATTACTAATGCTAGGAAAATGTAGGACAGATTCTTGTGAATGTAATCTCAAGCTAGACTTTGAGATGATGTTTGGGCCATGAGACTTGAATTTCAATTTGTGATTCATTCAAGAGACGGGTAGGGTTGTGGGCACAGAGTAGAGCCAAGAAGAAAATAGGAGAGAGAAATCAGTGGTGGCAAATCTATTTTGCCACAACGCATAAGAAGCACAGTTTAGTTTTCTGTGGAATTACTCAGAATTAAGTCCCGCTGCAATAAGCCTGCAGAGTAAAGTCCACCTGAATGCCAGGCAGTGACTTTCTTAAAATGCAGAGTAATCTATTTCTGTCTTGGATTAGAGACAAGGGCAGGAGCTTGTAGGCTGGATGGGGCCTTTGCCATGAGTCAAATAAGATTTCTGTCATGGTTCAACATTTCAGAAAGTTAACTTGCAGAGATGTAACATTCAAAGATGTTTCTTCTTACTATACAAAGACTCACTTCAATTCCTGAGCCTTTATAATAGACAAGAATGAGAGCCACATTTTGTTGAGTCAGACCATGGTTTTCCCTAGCTCAGTAATATCTTAACATTGGCTGCCAGCAGCTCTCCAGGGTTTCAAACTCTATTTTCCAGTCTTACTTGGAGATTTAATTTTGATACTTTAGTATGTGTTTTGCCACTGAGCTATGAAGCACGTATCCAACACAAATAAGTCACAAGCCTCCTTCGAAAGGAACCCCTGCAACTTCTCACCATCAGAGTTGGCATTGGGGTTTTGGAGCAACGAATCCAAAGAAAATACCTCCCATGACTCAAGATATTCCCCCACATAGATTATAAATTAAACATAGATTATATAATATGGTCTGATACCTCCTGGATAGAATAGGTAAGACTGGATGGAGTTGGACAGCAACAGCACAGTTTCTGAAAAAGGGGACACACAAACATCCCTTCAATATAAAACATATAGACTTCAAATCATTAAATAAGATTTCCAAACAGAGACACTGGGATATTGCTTTTTGTGAGCTGTGCTCTAATTCATATGTATCTTGCTCCCCAAGTGCCCTGTCCATACATTATGTTGGGCCTTTCCATGCAGCAAATTATCTAAAGAACTTGATTGTGGCCAAATACTGTTGCTTATTTTCCAAGGCAAGGTGTTCCCGCCTGAACTGCTGCGTGGAAGATTTGAGGAAATCCATATAATGAAAGATTCGGCCCATGTAACAAACAGGAAGTAGAATGCATCTATCATATTCTACTGTCATGCAATTTCTATGAACAAGCTTGAGCACACATAATTAATCCCCTATTGAGAAACATACTGGCCAGTCCAGTGAAATTTTATGGGAAGTTTTTACTTCGTGATGATCATGCCCATGTGACCCTGGCTGTTGCTAAGTTTCTTTCCGAGGCAGCCAGGATCTCTATTTTAGACACAGGCTGAAACATGCCTGGTACCTTTTGTAGTCTTTTACCTATGCTCATAACCATCTTGTATGGCTTCAATCAGTTTTAATCCCGTATTTTAACCAGTTTAAACTGTTGCTAATTTCATCCCAATGTGTGTTAAATCGGTCAGCTGTTGTTAATCTTATTAACCTTGATATTTTGTACAATGAAGGAGCAATAAGGGTCTTTGGACTATAATAAAATGTTGTTGTACATAAGATTTCAGAAAGTGCTGTTGGGATAATAAGGGTGATAGTAGACAAAGATCTTGAAGTAAAGTGTTCCAAAATGGTGCAGGCACAAAAGTAAATACAATTTCCTGAATACCCACCACCAATGGTATCTGCTGAAGATACTGATCATGGGCAGATTTATCTGGAATAGCACGGTCCTTCAGATTTCAGAATTCTATGATGCTTGGAACATCAAAACAAGCTCTTCGCTAGTAACTGGATTTAGTTGTTTTGAGACTGGTGATATGTTGTTGTTGTTTATTCATTCAGTCGCTTCAGACTCTTTGTGACCTCATGGAACAGCCCACACTGGAGCTCCCTGTCAGCCGTCACCATTCCCAGCTCCTTCAAGGTCAAGCCACTGGTGATATGTATTCTGTTTTATTGGGCCTTGTTAGTGATGTTACTAATACATCTTATGAAGTTTCCAGAAATTCTTGAAGGGCTGACCCAGAACAGAGTACATTAGTCTAAACAATATGTTATGTAACATGACAGTGATCAAATTGCATTTGTCTAGTAAGGATTTCAGAGGTAGTGTTTAAGATGCTTGGGACAGAGAATCTATTTGGGAGTTCTGGAAATGCTGTTGAAAGATGTAATTGTATGTACCCACCAGCTACAATGTTCAAAGTATACCATATATGGTACTTTAGTATATAATTTAGACTAAACCTTTTTTAATGACTTACAAAAAGTTCCTTTGAGGGGAAGGAGAAGGACAAAGAAAATGAAGAAAAAGAAAGACAATAATAACATCTACCAGATTGTCAGCTATCTGACTGCATACATGTAATGTCTTCAAAGTTGCTTTAATTCTATTAATGGAATGCTTTCAATTAAAATGCAATAAATTACTTAATGTAAAACTACTGATGTATTAAGAGCAATTGCTTTTCAATCGGAATAAATCACCTCTTGCCAATTAATAAAATTATAGGCTTTAAATCTATGTATTGATTAAGGCTTTGATGGCCGGAATCACTGGGTTGTTGTAGGTTTTTTGGGCTGTGTGGCCATGTTCTAAAAGGCTTTAAATAATTTCTCAGGCTATGTACAATGGGAGAAGTTAAAGATGAATTGCAACTACTCAGTAGCTACCTTGATAACGCTGTTATGTGTTGCCATGGTAGTAACATCTGTCATGCTTAATGTTCCAGTATCCTTCGTGGATGCCAGAATCCATGGATACTCAAGTCCTCTTTTATACAATGGCATAGTAAAATGGTGTCCTTTACATATAATGGTAAAATCAGTTTGCTTAAGAAAAATTTAATCTATTTTCAAACTGTGGATGGTTGCATGTATGGATAATACAATATAATACAAAACTTTATTACAGTCACCGACCAGCACAAAGCAGGGCGCATGTACCCTGGGAAGGGGAAACACAGCTCCCCAGTGAAGCAGTTATTTTAAAAAAGCAGATTAAAGAACAGTTTAAAAACACAGATTAATGTAACAGATATGGAACCGGGGGGGGGGGGGGCACGGGGATGGGGGACTGAGAGGTCAATGCACTGGGGTGAGGGGCACTAAAGGGGATGGGAGGGGCACATTACAAGTCTAGTAGTATTTCAGCTGTAACAGGTTGCTCTAGCTACATTCCCAACAGGCCGGGTGTTTCCTTGTGAGGTCAATCATCATCCATCTAATGTTAAGTGCTGCAGCACAAAACTTAGCAACACTATAAGTTATTGTAGTGTAGAGTTCAAAAGCAGCAGGGTGGAGTAATATTTTTCAGTGCATCCTGGATATTTTAGAAGCCATGGTGTAATGAGATTAGTTCGAAGGTCTCTGTAGAACATTCATTGAAGAAGCACGTGCTCCGTTGTTTCTACATGTCCAGACTCACAGGGGCATTATCTCTCCTTGAAAGGGGATTTCTGATACCTCCCCTCCAATACAAACGATGGGAGGGCATGGCATCTTGCCAGGGTAAAAGCCCTTTGGTGTTTGGGCACCTCCAGGTCTGTTAGGTATGTTATGGGGGCAGTGAGGTATCTATTGGCTTTCCTAACAATAAAGGCTGGGGAACAGGCTAGGTCCGATTGGCGTTCTATATCCAGGATCCGTTGCTTAATGAGATCCTTGGCTTGGTCTCATCTCACCCTTAGCAATTGTCCTTGGGAGAAACCTAGTGTCATGATCTTTATGGCCACTCTTTTAGTCCTTGTGGACTGTAAGTCGTCCCTCATGGTTAGAGGGGCAAGACCATATGAGGAGAAGGATAGGCATAGCTAGTAGTTGAGAATGGCTGTCCATATCCTTGCCTACACTTTCACAAAGCCTGTCTCCAGTCGCAGGGTGGATAAAAATACCTATAGATAAGGAGAACGGACTGTATTTTAGCTTCTATTAATTCTAATGAAGCTTGGGGTTTCAGGATCTTGCTTTCCTTGGTTTCCAGCCATGCACAACTGTGTCCATACAGAACAAACAACAAATTAAGTTCAAAGAGAAGCTGAGAAGGAGAACTGGAAGACTAAGATACAAATATTTCAAAGGTGTCTTATTTATCTCAAACAACAGTATCTGGAATGTTGGCTCTTTTCCTTACAAAACAAAGATATTTTGCCCTAGTTGCCCTGTTGCCACATGATACTACAATGTGAAAAATCAACAAATAAAAAGACAGAGGAGATGTACTTTTATAAGAAGGGCTAGCTGTGAATTGCAAGATGGTCTAACATGAACTGAAGACCTTGAAATTGCATTAGTTTCTGTACTGAAGAAGAAAAGAGGAAGAAACAGTTGTCTCTGTCACCTGAACTTTTATCATGGTAAGCCTTCTTTAAAACTGAATTCTTTGATCATGACTGCAGATAATGTACCTGTCAGATCTCTCTCTCTCTCTCTATACATACACACACGCACACTTACAAAGGATTCCCAAGACCTTAACCATTCAAGGCTAAGCAATTATCTCCAGAGCAGCTCAGGTCATTTGTATTATAGAAAGAGCTCAAATGTGTTAGGGGTTGTAAATGTAAATAAACAGAAGCTTTACCACAGTTTCTGAACCAAGATATACCCTGCAGTATAATAAAGTATCACTAGGGCTTGTGTAACAAGTAACAGTATCTTTACTTCAGTTTCAAAAGATCAAACAGGGCAACAATATATACAGCAGTCTCTCTGAATTCACACAGTGAATGGAGGGAATAATAAGTCCTTTTAAACAATCTTTAAATATATGCTTCATGCCTTAGAAATGATCAGGCTTCAGAGAGTTGGCAGCCATTTCTTTCCTGACTGTTTTCAGTCAGCGCTCTCCTCACCCTCTAGTTGGAAAGTGGCAGTTAAAACGTTTGTCTCAGCAGCAAGCCAGAGACAGCAGCTAATCGGAACTCTGGCCCCTGGCATGGCTAAATACCATGGAATCCTGGGATTTGTAGTTTTGTTACGAACCAGCATGCTTTGGCAGAGAAAGCTAAGGATCTGGTAAAACTACAACTATGATTCTATAGCATTCAGGTTGTTAAAGTGGTGTCATATTGCATTAATTCAACAGAATGGATTCACTATGCTGAGCTATCTTAGGCCCCTTCCACACAGCTGAATAAAATCCCACATTATCTGCTTTGAACTGGAATATATGGCACTGTGGACTCAGATAACCCAGTTCAAAGCAGATACTGTGAGATTTTCTGCCTTGATATTCTGGGATATAGGGCTGTATGGAAGGGCCCTCAGAATGGAGTACCTCAGCTGGGGATAGTATGAACTGGGAAAAGGCAGCTTCATACGCAATTCTCCCTTCTTTGTAGCAAAAGTACAAAACATAATGACTCAAATGAAAGGGGGGGGGGGGAATACCAGTGTGGTTGTATTCCTACCCACCTGGAAGTGAGCTCCACTGAACACAATTGATGTTATTTCTAATTAATCACACACATCTTTGCACTGTTAAACCCCTGCAGTCCTTTCACACTACAAAAAATATAACTGTTGTATATACTTTAGATTCCTTGGCTGTGCTTTGTGGGATCCTGGGGTTTATAGTATTGTGTGGCTATAGAGATCTTCGGCTAATGAGATTTCCAAATGCGTGCATGTACTTACATGTTTCCTAGCACCTTATGGCAAACATGCATTTCAAATAGTTTTCTTAAAGGTGGTTCACCAGTTCCTTCCTCTGAAATAATAATAATAATAATAATAATAATAATAATAATAATAATTATTATTATTATTATTATTATTATTATTTTCCTATATTTTTACCCCATCTTTCTCACCCCCGAAGGGGGGGGGGGACTCAGGGCGGCCTCACAAAAGCATCACAGGATGCCAAACATCATAAAAACAATCAACAATCAGCAATGCATTAAAATATTTAAAAACAGCAATTAAACAATGGATTAAAAGCACGCCTATTAAAATCAGAATCCAAAGTCCAATCCAAGGTCCAGTCCAGGTCAATTCATTGTCTTAAAAACTTCTTTTATTCACTGTTATTACTGGTCGAACGCTTGGTCCCATAGCCAGGTCTTAAGTTTCCTTCTGAAAGACAGGAGGGAGGTGGCCAGTCTGATGTTCCTGGGGAGGGAGTTCCACAGACGGGAGCTACTGCAGAGAAGGCCCTGTCCCTCATACCCACCAGTTACATTTGCGATGTCGGTGGGATCGAGAGCAGGGCCTCCCCAGATGATCTTAAATATATAGCCTATAGCATATAGTATATATATGAAATTTAGCCTACAGCACCTGGTGTATTTATGGTCTCCCATCCAAGTACCAACCAGGGCTAATCCCTGCTTAGTTTCACAAAATCAAAGGGGTCTGGTGTCTTTAAGGTATATTAATCTGTCATCTAGATTGTACACCCCAATATTCCATAGGATGGTACCATGGTGATAAAATGTGGAATGATAGTGCTGTAGTTGAGTTGCATGAAAGGACCCCAGAGATGGTAGGAGGGCTACATTTGGATCTTCAGAAATTGTTACATTTTTTAATTCTCCTTGGTCCCATTTTTCCAATGGGTAGAAATGAAGAGAACTGAGGTCCAACTGTGTCAGCATTGTGTCCAAACGGATCTCCCTCTATGAACCATCTCGAATATTAAGATCATCCGGGTAGGCCCTGTTCTTGGTCCCATCTCCTTTGCAGGTGCAATTGGTGAGGACGAGATACAGGGCCTTCTCGGTGGTGGCCCCTCGGCTGTGAAACTCCCTCCCCAGCGGTATTAGACCAGTCCCCTCCCTCCTGACCTTCAGAAAGAGAGTGAAAATGTGGCTCTGGGATCAAGCCTTCATAGAAGAACCATAGTGCAATAGATTAACCAAAATTATATGCAATTACTACCAGAACGACCTGGATTATGATTGCGGATTGTTTGGTTTTATCGAGATAGTAATGTTTTATAATGTACTTAATGTACTTATTTTAATCTTAATGTATTTTAATTGTAAATTGTTGTTAAGGCATTGAATTATTGCCTAAGTGTAAGCCACCTTGAGTCCCTTTCGGCGTAAATATAGTAAATAAATAAATAAATGAATGAATACTGTAGAAAGGTAAGGGCACTAAATAAGTTATTAGGATTCACAGCCAACAATGATGTTTATCTAACTGGTTTAGACTATTGCATACTACTTTGCATTAAACAGGATAGTGAGAAGCTTTTACCACTCAGAAAAATGCCCTGCAGAGTATGAAAAAAATAAAGTTTGAACTGCAACTCTGAGATCCTTGCAGTGATTATGGCTAGGGCACAATTAGGAGATCTTGGGTGAATCTACACTGCAGAACTAATGCAGTTTGACCCCACTTTAACTGCCATAAGGATAAATATTTCCTTTGACATTATGTTTAGTCATGTCCGACTCTGGGGGGCGGTGCTCATCTCCATTTATAAGCTGAAGAGCCGGCGTTGTCCATAGACACCTCCAATGTCATGTGGCCAGCATCGTGCATCAAGTGCTGTTAATTTCCCGCAGAAGTGGTACCTATTGATCTACTCACATTTGCATGTTTTTGAACTGCTAGGTTGGCAGACACTGGGGCTAACAATGGGAGCTCACCCCATCCCTTCCGATCAGCAAGTTCTGCAGCTTAGCGGTTTTACCTGCTGCGCCACCACAGCCCTTTAACTGCCATAGCTTATGAGAATTATAGTTTGCAATGTCTTTAGCTTTTTCTGCCAGGATGCTGGTCCCTCCCCAAACTAGAACTTCAGGGGTTCAGTAACATTGAGCCATGGCTGTTGAAGGGGTGCCAAACTGCAGTAATTGTACAGCATTGATGCACTCTGAGAATGAATCCACTTTAAATCTCTTGCAGAATTCTGGGGTTTGTAGTTTAGGGAGGCTAATGTAAAGGCTCCTCCCTAAACTACAAACCCCAGAATCCTGCAGGAGGCAGCCACCGGATTTAAAGTGGATTCATTCTCTAGTGTGATGAGGTCTGTGCAAATGACTCTTGACAGGGTAATCAATCATAAACAGAGCCTGAGAAACCATTTCCCTCTGGTCAGCCTTTCCTTGATCTCTGCATTTCAGACTGCAATTTGGATGACTGCAGGGTTGTGTTGTGGAGGGGATGCGGCCCCCCAGGTGTTGCTGGGTTGCAAACCCCATCGGGCTGGGCAATCCCCGAAGGCAGGCAAGAAGGGAAAGGGAATTGGGAGAGGGAATTGGCAAAGGGAAGCCAGCGCTGTGGCTGGTGGCCAAGGAAGCCACCCACCTCACCTCCGGGAAGCCTCCCTATAAAAACCACCTGAGCCAGGTGCCCGCAAGGACAGCGCCACGTCTCCACCTGGACCCACAAGGTAAGTCGCTTCTCTCTCCCAGACCTCCCTTAAATTGCAGGAGAAGGGCAAGAGCGACTGTCCTCCTTGCTGGCTGAATCCCTGCAGAGATTTTTGGGGAGCCTCCTGGGAAAGACGCACCCCTCTCCCATCCCTCCCAGCTGAGCAATCACAGAGGGCATCCTACCCCTTCCCAACACCCCAGAGGCATTAGGATCGCTCTGGTTTTGGAAGCTAAGCAGGGGCAGCCCTGGTTAGCACTTGGATGGGAGACCACCAATGCATCCCAGCTCATGTAGGCTGAATCTCAGAGGCAAGAAATTGGCACAGCCAACTGTTGAGTATTTTGTGGGTTATATTTCAGAGCAAGCATCTGACACTGCTTGAGACTTATTTACTTAGCCCTGGCCCTTGAGCGCTCCAGCTGGAGGTCAGCTGTTACCAGCAGTGCTGTAGAATTTATTTATTTATTTATTTATTTACTTTGCTTGTATACCGCAGTTTCTCAGCCCGTAGGCGACTCAGCGTGGTTCACAACAAGAGCAAAAAGACAATCATAACAATATACAATTTAAAAACCATTAAGAGCATAATATACAAAGTAATGACACATCAATAACAACACATTAACGTCTCGTAACTAGAATCGTGATCCAATTCGTCATCCATAATTCCGTTTCCTATATTCATCGTGTACATTGCACTGTTTATCCGAACGCCTGTTCAAACAGCCAAGTTTTTAGTTTTCTTCGAAACACCATTAACGAAGGGGCTGATCTAATGTCCATGGGAAGGGCGTTCCACAGCCGAGTAGATGATGCTTACACCATGAAGCCGCTGCTCGTCCCCGCCAGCCGTGCTTGTGATGCAGGCGGGATCGAGAGCAGGGCCTCCCTAGAAGATCTTAGAGTCCTGGTAGGTTCATAGGCAGAGATACGTTCGGATAGGTAGCTTGGGCCCGAACCGTTTAGGGCTTTATAGGCCAACGCCAGCACTTTGAATTTAAAGAGGCATGAATGGGGGGCGAAAGAGAGAAACGTGATATGAGGAAGGCGCGTCAAGCCAACCCCAACCGGGACCATCTTCCATCTGGAAACCAATGCCCTCATTGCAGGAGAACATGCAGATCAAGAATAGGGCTCCACAGTCACCTATGGACCCCCACCGCCAGTGGATAGTCAATCTTTGAAGACTACCCTACTCAGACAACGAGGGATCGCCTAAGTAATATTTCAGAGAAAGCATCTGGCACTGCTTGAGACTATTCAGTAGTATGTTTCAAAGTATTCTGTAGTTTACATTTCACTACCACCTTTGAGGCCAGATTAAGTATTCTGCAGGTTTTCAGTACTTTATATTTCAGAGGAAGGAGTTGGCACTACACTGCTGAATACAACATGTAACATGATGTTTGTTCCCGGGTTTTAAAATTTCATTTCCTAAAAGGAGCCCGCGGTGTTACATGGTGTATTCAGCGGTGTACATACAATCTATATAAATAAAAATGTAATGTTCGTTTGGGGGATTAACATAACTCAATAACCACTGGGTGAATTGACACAAAATTTGGACACAAGATACTGATCAAGCCAATGAGTGACTATCAATCATAAAAACACAGAAAAATACAGCAAAAGAGACGTAAAATCCAAAAAACAAAAACAAAGAATACATTACAACGCATGTGCAAAACCACATATATACACAAACACATATATACGCAAATATATACAGAAATATATACACACATATATGCACACACAAAACACATACACAGAAAGGGGAAAGGAGGGAGAGAGAAAGAAGGAGAGAAGGAAAGAAAGAAAGGTAGAGAAGGAAGGAAGGACAGAACAAAATAAGAGAGGCGACTGAGGCATCTGCTTGTCCTGTTTTGTGAGATTCCTTCTGACTTGTTTGTCCTGAGGACGTGGAGGTGGCCCTTGGGGCAGTGAGAGCTACCACATCGGCTCTAGACCCTTGCCCGTCTTGGCTAATTAAATCAGCCAGGGATGGTTTGATTGATTGGTTTATGTTAATCATTAACACATCGTTGGAGCAAGGAATTTTTCCATCAGGCTTAAAACAGGCTGTGGTTAGATCACTCCTGAAAAAGACTTCCCTTGATTCCACGATCTTAAACAACTATAGACCAATCTCAAACCTCCCTTATCTGGGCAAGATGTTGGAGCGGGTGGTTGCTGCTCAGCTCCAGGGCTTCCTTGATGACATCAACTACCTGGACCAGTCACAGTCTGGTTTCAGGCCTGGCCATGGCACCGAGACGGCTTTGGTCGCCTTGGTGGATGATCTCCGCAGGGAGCTGGACAGGGGGAGTGTGACCCTGTTGGTTCTCTTGGACATCTCAGCGGCTTTCGATACCATCGACCATGGTATTCTTCTGGGATGCCTCTCCGAGATGGGCCTTGGGGGTACGGCTTTGTCGTGGCTCCGGTCCTTCCTGGAGGGTCGATCCCAGATGGTGAAGCTGGGAGACGCCTGCTCGGACCCCTGGCCTTTGACCTGTGGGGTCCCGCAAGGTTCCATTCTGTCTCCCATGCTTTTTAACATCTACATGAAACCGCTGGGAGAGGTCATCCGGAGTTTTGGAGTTAGGTGCCATCTCCATGCAGATGACACACAACTCTACTACTCTTTTCCACCTAACTCCAAGGAAGCCCCTCGAGTGCTAGATGAGTGCCTGACCGCTGTGGCTGTCTGGATGAGGACGAACAAGCTGAAGATTAATCCCGACAAGACAGAGGTCCTCCTGGTCGATCGTAAACCAGACCGGGGTATAGGGTGGCAACCTGTGCTAGACGGGGTTGCACTCCCCCTGAAGTCACAGGTCCGCAGTTTGGGGGTCCTCCTGGATTCTTCACTTACGTCGGTGGTGGCCGGGAGGGCCTTTGCACAATTAAGACTGTGTGTCAACTGCGACCGTACCTCAGGAAGGTGGATCTGGCCGGGATGGTCCACGCCTTAGTCACCTCTAGACTGGATTACTGCAATGCACTCTACGTGGGGCTGCCCTTGAAAACGGCCCGGAAATTTCAGATGATCCAACGGGCGGCAGCCAGGTTGTTAACTGGGGCACCTTACAGAGAGCGGTCATCCCTCCTGTTCAAGGAGCTCCACTGGCTGCCATTCATCTACCAGACCCAATTCAAGGTTCAGGTTCTTACCTATAAAGCCCTGAACGGTTTGGGACCCGCCTACCTACGTGATCGCATCTCTGTATACGAACCCACACAATCCCTTCGATCTTCCGGAGAGGCCCTGCTCTCAATCCCACCAGCATCGCAGGCGCGTTTGGTGGGGACGAGGGAGAGGGCCTTTTCGGTGGTGGCCCCTCGACTCTGGAACTCACTCCCTAAAGACATCAGACAGGCCCCAACTCTGGCAGTCTTTAGGAGGAGCTTGAAGACGTGGTTGTTCCAGTGTGCCTTCCCGGAATAATGATCCCATAGCACTTTGTCCTCCAAAGCACTTTACATTTTAGGTCTGCTCGTATGTCCTTCCACAAACAACAGTATCACCTTTCGTTCATGTCCCAGCATTATTTCCAATTTTAACATTTGGCCTTCCCACTGTTTTTAATTATGTGTTGTTTTATTGATAATGTTGTGTATTTTATTGTCTATGTTTTTTAACTGCTTGTATTGTTGTGATTATTGCTTGTATTGTTGTGTTGGGCTCGGCCTCATGTAAGCCGCACCGAGTCCCTTGGGGAGATGGTAGCGGGGGTACAAATAAAGTTAAAAAAAATAATAAAATAATAATAATAATAGAAATAATAACAATAAAGTGAAAGAGGGAAGGAAGAAGAGAAAGAGGGAAGGAGGGAAGGAAGGAAAGAGACAAGGAAGGATGGAACCAAAGAGCAAAGGAAGTGAGAAAAGAAACAGGAAGAGGGAAGAAAGAAAGAAGAAGGGAAAGAAAAAGAGAGAAGGAAGGAAAGAGGGAGGGAAGGAAGGAGAGAAAGAAAGAAAGAAACAGAAAGGGAGGGAAGGTTGGCCACAGCAACGCATGGCTGGTGCAGCTAGTATATTATATTATTAGCAAAGCACAATATTAGTATTATATATTACTATATTGTACTAATCCACTATACTGCAATATTCTTAGCAATATTACATGTAATATATAATATACAATTATTATATTGTATTATTAGTATTATATTGTATTTATAATATTATAATCAATATTATATGTACATACAATATTTCATATTGTTAGCATAGCATAATATTAGTATTATATATTACTATATTGTACTATACCACTATACTGCAATATTATTAGTAATATTACATGTAATATATGATATATAATTATTATATTATTATATTGTATTATTAGTATTATATTGTATTACATTATAACTTTATGATCTCTTTTATATGTACATACAATATATTATATTATTATCAAAGCACAATATTAGTATTATATATTACTATATTGTGCTAATCCACTATGCTGCAATATTACTAGTAATATTGCATGTAATTTATACATACAATATATTATTAGCATAGCACAATATTAGTATTATATATTACTATATTGTACTATACTACTATACTGCAATATTATTATAATATTACATGTAATATATGATATACAATTATTATATTATATTATTAGTAGTGTTATATTGTATCACATATTATTATCAATATTATATGTATATACAGTATATTATATTATTTTATATGTATATACAATAATATTATATGTTATGTTTATCTGCCTGGATTGTTGTTGAGACTCTTTTAAAAAAACAAGAAGTGATTTTTTAAAAAACAAGAGTATATTTCTTGGGTCCAAACCAGGGATCCTCAAACTTTGTAAACAGAGGGCCAGGTCAGAGTCCCTCACACTGTTGGAGGGCTGGATTATAATTTGAAAAAAACATGAATGAATTTCTATGTACACTGCACATATTTATAGTGCAAAAAACACTTAAAAACAATACAATAATTAAAATGAAGAACAATTTTAACAAATATAAACTCATTATTATTTCAGTAGGAAGTGTGGGCCTGCTTTTGGCTGATGAGATAGGATTGTTGTTGGGTTGTTGTAGGTTTTTTCGGGCTATATGGCCGTGTTCTAGAGGCATTTTCTCCTGATGTTTCGCCTGCATCTATGGCAAGCATCCTCAGAGGTAAGCACCCTCAGACTACCTCTGAGGATGCTTGCCATAGATGCAGGCGAAACATCAGGAGAGAATACCTCTAGAACATGGCCATATAGCCCGAAAAAACCTACAACAACCCAGTGATTCCGGCCATGAAAGCCTTCGACAATACATAGGATTGTTGTTGTTGTTGGGTGCTTTCAAGTTCTTTCAGAATTAGGTTGACCCTGAGCGAGGGCCTGGATGTCCACCCACCAATCTACCTGTTGAATTCTGATTGTCTTGTTGCTGAGTCCTTCTTGAATAACAAAACCTTGTGTAAGATGAAGCCAGTCCTTGACTTCTCAACTGGACCAACGCACTCAAATACGTCAAAGGGTCCAGCTGGCTTCTGTATTTGGAATGTACTTTGACCTGGACTACAAAGTGTCTCAGATCTGCCACGAGGATGCTCTTTAATGTGTTTAATATTGCCTTCATACTCTGCAGATATTCTGTATTTCCCTCATCATGCTGCTCTTTGCTGGAGGCAACTCGTCATCCCCAAATTCCTTATCACAGGAGGAGGAGCGGATTTTTCAGTACATTGATGGCCATCAAGATGAATTCGTTCAGGTACGAATAACACAGAATTTGAATTCTGCTAGCAACTCCACTCTATGCTGCTGGAAATACAATGCAGACAACAGAAGAATTAGCATTTGTCCCAGCTATCAAATGCTTTATTATCAAATCTTATCAAGACTATCAAATCTTAGTTAGAGAGTAAGAAGACAGAGAAGTGAATGAACAGACAGAACTTCCCCATGACTATTAGTTATGTATTCAGCAAGACATTAATGGAACTGGCATTACTCATTGTGCTGGTGGGAACTCTTGAAAAATCAGTAGGAAGATGCCTCACAATAGAGAGGAATGCAATTACCCCATCTAAACAAAGCTTCAAGGAGGGAAGATTGTGTAGGTGGACGTTCTTTTTGTTGCTCTTATTCTTCCACACTTCCTTTAAAAAGAGTAGATTTCACAGCGACAGATCCCTTAGAAATAATAAGATGGAAGTAGGTTTTACAAAGATGGATCACTCATGCAAAACCTTCCTGACTTCTATCATTTTTAATGAGCCTGCCAGGGAAAACTTAGTGATTTTAAAGCACTGGTGGAGCATAATGAGCACTATGAATCAGTAAGTTACTTCTTTAGATGATGTCTTCAGTTTTAGTCAGGCAATAATCCTACCAGAACTTTTGTCTCCAAATAGAGATTCTAAAAAACGTATCCGGCTTCTTGTATGATTTACAACAGGATACTGCATTTAAACTACTGCCAGACCTCTACATTTGCTGGGGTTAGGGATACTGGCAATGAGTATCTGGTGCTGTAGGTTATATTTCAAAGGAAACAACTGGCAAAAGCACCTTTGAAGTTTTCTTACCTATGAAAGCCCTATGTCATTTATGGCGTTGCCAGAAGTTGACAACTGACCTCAAGGCATGTGTGTGTGCACACACACAAGCATTGGAAACTATTGGCAGCATTACGAACTATAGTATATATGTGTAGGAATCTCATTAGACTATAACTAAATTGAGTTGCTGTGAGTCTTCTAGGATGTATGGCCATGTTCCAGAAGCATTCTCCCTTATTTTTCACCCACATATATGGTAGACATTCTCAGAGGTTGTGAGGCCTGTTGGAAACAAGGCAGGTGGGGTTTATATATCTGTGGAATGTCCAGGGTGGGATAAAGAACTCTTGTCTGCTTGAGGCACATGCGGATGTTGCAATTGGTCACACTGATTGGTCACACTGGGTGTATCCATTGTTGGGAGGTATTAGTTGACTCTGATTATTTCATGTCTGGTTTTTTTTAGTGTTGCTCTTAATATACTGTCCTGATTTTAGAATTTTTAATACTGGTAGTCAGATTTTGTTCATTTTCATGGTTTCCTCCTTTCTGCTGAAATTGTCCACATGCTTGTGGACTTCAATGACTTCTCTATGTAGTCTGACATGGTGGTTGTTAGAGTGGTCCAGCATTTCTGTGTTCTCAAATTTTATGCTGTGTACAGGTTGGTTCATCAAGTGTTCTGCTATGGTTGACTTCTCTGGTTGAGATAGTCTGCAGTCTTATTTGGGCGCTGAGTTTGGTGATCCCTATGTAGACTTGTCCATAGCTGCATGATATACAATAGACGCCTGCAGATGTGAGAGAATCCTAAATTGAGGATCCTGAACCAATAACTAAATTGATTGTTCATGTGAAGAATCAGATGAACAACTCCAAGTATGACTGGCAAATGCATGGTCTGGACAGAGAACACCATCTAGGAGAGTAATATGTTGGTAGTGGAGAAATGTGTAAGCACACATGCAAAAGTGGTGTATGAGAAATAGGGACTAGTGGCTCGGAGTCCTTTTGTGTTCCTTCTTTCTGTCATGTGCCCTGTTGCTTCCGCACCTATACATGAATATTCTCATGTTTACTTTCTAGCACATCTCTCCACTATCTCTTCGTTTATGAAGAGATAGAGTACTATCCCAATTTCTATCTCTCTCGGTATATTCTACTGTGTTTTCTTTGTGTCCTTTTCTACATAGACAGTGGCCACATCACAATGGCATCACAATGAATGGGCTTTAAAATTAACAGTTTAATTAAAATTTTGAGACGCTGATATCCCCATTTTATCTTCAGCATCTTGGATAGTTCCTTTTAAAGTTCAGACTGTCATGGATTTACTGTTCCACTTAGGAAAAGGTAAAGGTTTTCCCCTGACATTGTCCAGTTGTGTCTGACTCTGTGGGTTGGTGCTCGTCTCAATTTCTAAGCCAAAGAGCCGGCATTGTCCGTAGACACCTCCAAGGTCATGTGAGCTGCATGACTGTATAGAGTGCCATTACCTTCCCGCTGGAGCGGTACTTATTGATCTATTGATATTTGCATGTTGTTGAACTGCTAGATTGCCAGAAGCTGGGGCTAACAGCGGGAGCTCACGCTGCTCCCTGGATTCGAACCTGCGACCTTTCAGTTAGCAAGTTCAGTGGTTTAACCCACTGTGCCACTGGGGGCTCCACTTACATGGTCTGAAACTGTGTCCTGGACAAAGCACTGTAACTGTCAGCCTTTGCACCACAATCTAGTTCCACTTCATAATATAACCCCCCATATCCAAAGGAGATAGGTTCCTGAACTTTGTGTGCATACATAAAACTCTGAATAATAGTGTCTCTTCTTGCAATGGAAGACATCTGGCCAAGAATACCATAGAGCAGAATTTCTCTCCAGGTGTTTTGGACTTCACCTCCCACAATTCCTAACAGTTGGTAATCTGGCTGGGATTTCTGGGAGCTGAAGTCCAAAAAACCTGGAGAAGCACAGTTTGAGAATCACTGCCATACAGTCATGATGGAGGATCTAGAAAATGTCTAGAGAAAAGATGCAGATAGATGAAACTACAGATATCAGTCATATTGTAATTATTTAAATTTTGGATTCCAAGCAAAATGGTAACATACAGCCAGGCATTAAAAACTTGAAGTAAGTGTCCTGATGCCATGGATTATATCATGCTTTTCTTTGCAGAACCTTGCAGGATGGGTGGCTGTGGAGAGTGACTCCATACAACCACATCTACGAGCAGAAGTAACACGAATGGTGAAGATAGCTGCAGCCAGCCTTCAAGACTTAGGAGCAAGTGTAATGCTCCGTGACATTGGCGTACAACAGGTATCCAGATATTATTGATTGCATGTAAAAATCCCAGTCAGGAGAAATCTGCCAACATGTAAGGGTAAGCTGATTCATCCCTAGTTCGAAACGTCTGTGCTACAATTCCAGACTTCTATGCTACCATCTTGAATAGTGAGCTGTACTTCAGAGACAGGAGGCAATAGTGTGAAGGTAGAAACTGGTGTGCAAGACTCAGAGTAGGAGTGGAGCAAAGTGGCTTATGATTCAGAGTTGTGGCACTATTTATATTTGTTGATCCAGGTACTTGGTACGAGCATGTAAATATTAAAAATCCTATGTTCAAGTCCTAGGTTAAGAGCGCCATTGGCAAAGTGCTTTTGGCAAGCTATGGCAAAGGGGAAGCTTCCTGAACCACAGTGGTCAACAGCAGCACTGTGCTCAGCATCAAGTGGCTTGGAGCTGCCATTTTAAGTATGATTTTAAAGCACTTTGGATAACAACAACAACAACAACAACAACTTTATGTTTATACACCTCCACCATCTCCCTGAAGGGACTCAGGGCAACTTACATGGGGACAAGCCCAAAAATACAGATTAAAACACACACAATAAAATAAAATAAGACAAAATAAAATCAACCGCAACATCAGAGAACATTACAATCACATTACATATTTTAAGAACAGTAGCGTGGCTGAAAGAATATGTTAAACAGTAGGTCAAAGGAGTTGTGGTGTGTGAATATATGGATCACAGCATGTATCAAGTCATTCTGTCTAGGAACAATTGCTCAGCTAAATTTCTTTCACACCTACATCTGTTTAGATCTGTAAGAACTAGAGAATGTAGGGTAATAATCTACACAGGAACCCAAAATGAGATCTAATAGGTAGGTACATTTTACTATGGTCCAGAGAGCCTTATTACACTGTAGCATACAAGTTATACAGGTAATGAAATTAGGAACATCCTATGGATAAAATTTGCAAACAGTAAAAGCTGCTTAAAATGCATGTTGTCTAAAAACAAGGATAAAAAGCTACAAAAAGTGCTGGTGTGTTTCAGCCTCAAGGTATGTAGGCAATGAGATTAAAAACAACCTGTAGCTTGGGCACAAGATGGGTAAAATTAACAACAGTTAAAATAATAGGAATGGCCATTGTTCTAATAGGAATGGCCATTGTTTCAGAAAGCACCTCAGTGGAAAAAAAAAACCTGTTGTTTGGAGTTTACCTAAGATGTTCAGTTTTCATTTGCTATTGTCTCTCAACAGCTGCCCAGTGGCCAGAATATTTCTTTACCTCCTGTTATTCTAGCAACACTTGGGGAAGATCCACTAAAACCAACTGTGTGCTTTTATGGCCATGTGGATGTGATGCCTGCCAAAATACAAGATGGATGGAAAACACCTCCCTACAACCTGACTGAAGTTGATGGTATGCATACCACATTTTTTAAAAATGTTCTGGCACTACACCAATTTACTTAGCAGTTAAAGTTGAGGGAAAGGAGAGCAGGATATATTAAGCATCAATCACTATAGCACCAAACATACCACTTTTATTTTTTTTAAAAAAACAACAACAACCAAGTCTAACAACCAAAGAAGTTCTGGAGATGTTCTGCCAGCTGCTAATGCAACAACAGGGGCAAGTAATCCTGGAGGGCAAGGAATCCAGGGAACATTGGGTCTAACCATGCTGTGTGCTAGTGCTGAATCTAAGCACTTTCAAGCAAATTCAAAGCCCATCACAAACATTATCAAGCTACAGTTCTTTTAAACCTTAAAGGCAGATCCCACAGTATTTCAGAGATGTATACTTCTTGCCTATAGCCAACTAGACAAATAACTTTGTGGCAAGTGCAAAAATTGAACTAGGGACATTCTTGGATCATAACTTAGTCTCTGAAGCGCTGTGCTAGAGAATTGTTCTATCATTAGCATCATTAAAGTTTTCACCATCTTATTGGTGTTCTTTATGTCAAGGAAATCTTTTTGGACGGGGAACAACAGATGACAAAGGACCTGTCCTAGCCTGGATAAATGCAGTGAACACCTTTAAAGCACTGAACATAGTATGTAAACATGAATGACTACCTCCTCTGCTGCCACCTTCACTTCCCACCTTCATCTATTTCCATCATTGTATTCCTCCGCTCCCTCTCTTCCCCATCCTATTTTTTTCTCTTCCACCTTCTCCTCCCTCTCCTCCTTTCTCTATATGGGGGCGGGGGGGGGGGGGATAGATAGAATTATGGCCTCTCAGATATTGTCAGTTTATTACTCTTGTCAATACTTGCCACCATAGCTGTTTGTGATCATGGGAGTAGCTGGACAGAGGGAGAAGAAGAGGCATGCACAACTGCATCATGACTTGGTCCAGAAGCACATGTTAGGCTCTTTCTCTCTACCCCAACTGCCACTTCTCTAGCGGCAGAAGGAGCGAAGAAGGCTGTCCGTTTACTGAATCCCTTTCTATACTGGCATCTTCTTTTCCTTGTGTCTTTAGATAGGTAACCTTAGGGCAGTGTTTCTCAACCTTTCTAATGCCATGACCCCTTAATACAGTTCCTCATGTTGTCATGACCCCCAACCATAACATTATTTTCGTTGCTACTTCATAACTGTATTTTTTGCTACTGTTATGAATCATAATGTAAATATCTGATTTGCAGGATGTATTTTCATTCACTGGACCAAATTTGGCACAAGTACCCGATACACCCAAATTCGTATACTGGTGGAGTTGGGAGGGAGTTGATTTTGTCATTTGGGAGTTGTAGTTGCTGGGATTTATAGTTAACCTACAATCAAAGAGCATTCTGAACTCCACCAATGATGGAATTGAGTCAAACTTGGCACACAGGACTCCCATGACCAACAGAAAATACTGGAAGGGTTTGGTGGGTATTGACCTTGAGTTTTGGAGTTATAGTTTACCTACATCCAGAAAGCACTGTTGACTCAAACAATGGTGAATCTGGGTGAAACTTGGCCCAAATGTGAACACTAGTGGAGTTTAGATAAAAAAGGCCTTGACATTTAAGAGTTGTAGTTTCTGGGATGTATAGTTTCCCTACAATCAAAGAGCATCCTGAACCCTACCAATGATAGAATTGGGCAAAACTTCCCACACAGGACCCCCATGACTAACAGAAAATAGTGTGTTTTCTGATGGTCTTTGGTGACCCCTTTGACACCCCCTCGCGACCCCCCCAGGGATCCTGACCCCAGGTTGAGGAGCACTGCCTTAGGGCAAGGTACTGTCAAATTAACGATTTGTAAGCAACTCTGAGAGTCTTTGTGGTTGAAGAGTGTGTTATAAATATTCTAAACAAACAAACAAATAACTACTAATAACCAGAGAGTTACTGTTCTTTGGCCTTGGCCTATACCATGGCCCTAATTTAAAACACAACCTCAAACGTCTTAGTAGTCACAGCCAAGAAAATACATATGTTGTTTTGATTCCAACTATATGGCCTACAGCGATTGTTTTAAATTAAAAGAACTGGCAGTTCTAATCACACAGTTCCAAGAAAACATGTAGATTGGCTTTCAAATCTTATTCCAATGGTAAAGATTGCACCTGCAACTTGGTGCTTTGATTTTAGCTGCAGAGGATGTGAAGCAATATTGTAGCCTTCTATGCTGGGAGAAAAGTGGGATATAAATGCATGCGGAGCATTTTTGTCACATCTAGGAGAGGAGATTTTTAACAAAATGAAAAAAAGAAATTCAGGGACATTTTAATAAGACCTAAAATCCTCCACATCATCCCCTAGGGATTTTGTGAGGACAAAATATTTTAGTTTTTTACAGAGAAAGAATACAGTCCTTGAGGTCTAATGCCCTAAACCAGTGGTTCTCAACTTGTGGGTCCCCAGCTGTTTTAACCTACAACTCCCAGAAATCCCAGCCAGTTTACCAGCTGTTAGGATTTCTGGGAGTTGAAGGCCAAAATATCTGGGGACCCACAGGTTGAGAAACACTGCCCTAAACACTGGCAGTGGACGACACTGAGGCAATAAGATCTGACTCCATCAAAGATATTTCCTTTGTTATGTTTCTTATCTACATTTCATTTTGAACCTACAGCAGTGTAAAAACATGTGAAATTCTAACCGTTTTTAATGAAGATACACATCGTGGAAAGCTTTGTCCTCAATTATAGATTTGTCTATCAGGAACCTATCTGGGCACTGTAATGAATTTATTTTGACTGTCATGTTATTAAAAGTACTGTTCCAAGTGTGACTTAAGGTTATTTCCCCCCTAGGATATACCAGTAAACATCAAATTTCTGATTGAAGGCATGGAAGAAGCAGGGTCCATTGGCCTAGAAGAACTAGTTGAAAAGGAAAAGGGACATTTTTTCTCCGATGTCAACTATATTGTGATCTCAGACAATATTTGGCTCAGCACAACAAAGCCAGCTCTTACATATGGGACTCGGGGGAATGCCTGCTTCTCTGTGCAGGTAAAAAATTAAAATTTAAGTATGAGTATGCCCAAATTATTGTGAGCATCATTTTGGGGAGTTTCCACAGCTACTATTTGTCTCATTATCACATTTCCCTTATCTGGAATTCCAAAATCAGAAATTGTCCATATGAGTGACATAGAGTGCGACACTTTTGCTTTCTGTTTTTTATTTCAATGTTCACAGAGTTTGTTTCACCCACAAAACTACTTCAAAGATTGTGTAAAATTGCCCTTAGGCTATGTGCATAAAGTATATGTAAAACAAATGAATTTCATGCTTAGACTTGGTTCTCATTTCCAAGGAATCTCATTATGTACATATATGCATTACAAAATCAAAAAGATAACCACTCCAGATCCAAAATGCTTCTGGTGCCAAGTATTTTAGATAATGGATATTCAAGCTTTATATGTTTTCCACTTCCTCCTCAAGTATATCTCACCTTCTTCCCACAATAATATTCTGAAATAGATGATAACTTACAAAAGAAATATTATTTTTCCATCCCTCTCATCTCCTTTCCCCTTTCTGCAAATTCAATTTAGTTTAAATATTTTCTTCCAGTCTTGCACACAATTGTGGTGAGGCTGGAGAGAATAATTATTTGGGTTGCTGTGAGTTTCCTGGGCTGTATGGCCATGTTCTAGGAGCATTCTCTCTTGACGTCTCAGCCACATCTATGGCAGGCATCCTCAGAAGTTTTGAGGTCTGTTGGAAACTAGGCAAGTGGGGTTTATATATGTGTGGAATGCTCAGAGTGAGCGAAAGAACTCTTGTGTGTTTGAGGCAGGTGTGAATGAGGCAGGTATGAATGCCTTAAACAGACAAGAGTTCTTTCTCCCACCCTGGACATTCCACAGATATATAAACCCCACTAGCCTAGTTTCCAACAGACCTCACAACCTCTGAAGATGCCTGCCATAGATGTGGGTGAAACATCAGGAGAGAATGCTTCTGGAACATGGCCATACAGCCTGGAAAACTCACAGCAACTCAGTGATTCTGGCCATGAAAGCCTTTGACAATAATTATTTGTCTTTCTTTCAAATAGGTTGAATGTGGCGAAAAAGATCTTCATTCTGGAAGTGTAGGTGGCATTGTCCATGAAGCCATGTCTGATTTGATAGCCTTGCTTGGTAAAAAGTACTACCTTTATTTGTCTACATGTTATGTGCCCAGAAATTAAGTTGCATACATACCTCAAAAGAGTAAAACACCTAAGTTTAGTTTGTGAAGTCAGATTAGAATTGTAAGCTTTTTACTGTCTCAAAAAATGAAATGCATAGTGGTAGCATTGTTATTTTTTGTGTTAATGTTCTTCCCCATTCAGCTTTTTTCAGAGGAACTTACATTTATGAATATGCATATCCATATGTGGGTTGTCCCAAGAAAAGATGACTCAGAGCAGGATAATTGCTGAAACTGATGACAAAGTGTTTGTCAAAGCTCTTAGGAATCCAAAATGCTTCAGAGAGAGGGATAAAGTTAGTTAAATGAACCAAAGAGTCTTTCCTTCTTGTTTCTTGGTCATGACCCTCTATGACAGTGGTTCTCAACCTGTGGGTCTCCAGGTGTTTTGGCCTACAACTCCCAGAAATCCCAGCCTGTTTACCAGCTTTTAGGATTTCTGAGAGTTGAAGGCCAAAACATCTGGGGACCCACAGGTTGAGAACCACTGCTCTATGATGTAAACTGATAGTTATGCATATTTTCCCACCTCTTCTCTTCTCACCAGTTGATTCTGCAATTCTCCTGAATGCAGCTAAATTAATCAGTAACCTTCATATCTTAGAATGTAAAGCTTTTAGTGTCCTTCGCTTTGCAATCTGAGCCCCCAATTGCTGCAGGTCCTTTTCATTCAAAACAACTCTTTAAGATTGTCTAAACCAGGGTTTAAAAACTTTTCCCATTTGAGACCCCTTTTTCCCTGGTCAATTTTGACATGACCTTGGATATATAGGTATATAAAATAGGCATAAAAATCAAACATTTACTGAAAATAAATCAGCCTTTGCAAGGCTTTCCAAACAAGCTGATTTCCCTTTCTGTGTACAACCAGAGTCCACTGTAAATACTGCACAGTGTTGCTAACAGATTTGTATAAATGCGTAGGGTTCAGAAACCTTTTACTGTTGCCAATTTCTGTGGCCCCCAACACTGAGCTAAGGGGTCAGGACCCACAGTTTAAGAAGCAGAGTTTTTAATGATTGTTTTAATATATATACTTTTATTATGTATGTATGTTTACATGGCATCAATTCATTGCCTATATATGGAGGCTGCCTTGAGTCCCTTACAGGGTTGGGAAAGGCAGGGTATAAATAGGGTAAATAATAAATAAATAAATAAATAAATAAATAAGCAATCAGTGTAATAAAGTTAGTACCTACTTTCTGGGATCCCCTTCCACTCAGCATTAGCTATTCAGAGGAAGTAGTGACATTACCGTAGGTACTTCTCTGTCTTGGAGGACATAGGTCTGTGTGCCACACAGCCTGATCTACACCATCCTATGTCCAGGGTTTGTGAAGGACTAAGCGAGTGAGGTGCAGTGGTTTGAGCATTGGAATTCAGCTCTGAAGACCAGGATTCAAATCCCCGCTTGGGCATGAAAACTCGTTGGATGATTTTGGGCAAGTCAAGTAGACTCTCAGCTCAGAGAACAACAATGGCAAAGCCCCTCTAAAGAAATTTGCCATAAATTGAAAACAACTTGAAGACACATAATGATAACAACAAATATCCTATTGCAATTTAGCTAGTCCTAGCTGGCTTCTATAAACAGAAGAGCACCATCTTGTCCTTTTCTTTCACCTGGGGATTGTCTTGGGCCAGCCCTGCATGTTTTATGAGGTATTAACTGCAGTGCTGACAACATAGAGGTGAAACATTAATTGGCACAGGACATGAAATTAGGTACTTCTGACTGTACAAGGTACACTTGCTGATTCAATTTGTGTGAACATTTGTTCATGGAAAGATAATTAACATTTATTCACAGGACTTGGGACCTAGATTGCTTTTGCTGAGCTTGGTTTGTAATGCAAATCTAAAATGACCAGAATGTACTGTCCTGTATTTTTAAATGGCGCTACTGCCCTTCCTGTTCTTACACAGTCATAATATAAAAAGCACAAGAGAGAGAAAAAATCATTGTTTAAGTAAGTAAATGAGAAGGAATCTATTGTTTGTTCTTTTCCTTTAATGATATACAGATAAGAGCCAGACAGGTTCCCAGCTAGATAGAAGAACGTGATGTAACAGTAATTCTGTGTTATTTCTTTTAATGTGTTTGTCTCATAGACAGTCTTGTGAATTCATGTGGTCATATTCTGATCCCTGGAATTTATGATGATGTTGCTCCGCTTACAGAAGAGGAGAAAAAGCAGTATGAGTTGATAGAATTTGACTTGAAGGAATACAAAGCTAGCATTGGTGTAAAGGAAATTATCTATGATACCAAGGTATGGTTATATAACTATGATAATCTCAGTAAAAATAATCTCAAGAAATCTATAGTGTAGTTTTATTTATTTATTTATTTATTTATTTATTTATTTATTTAATGTATATCCCAAGGCACCATACACAGGACCTCCAAGAAAACGGAGGAACCCAAAGTACTAAAAATCCTATTATTTTACCTGAGAAACTTAGGGGATGGTGTTTCAGCCTGTGTTGGATGGGGTCACACTCCCCCTGAAGACATAGGCTCACAGTCTAGGGGTGCTCCTGGACTCATTCCTGATCCTGGAGCCCCAGGTGTCGGTAGTGGCGAGGAGAGCTCTTGCGCAATTAAAACTTGTGCGCCAGCTGTGTCCTTACTTTGAGATACCGGACCTGGCCATCATAGTCCATGCTTCAGTTACATCCCGATTGGACTACTGCAACGCTCTCTACATGGGGCTGCCTTTGAAGATAGTTCGGAAGCTTCAATTAGTCCAAACATCGGCAGCCAGGTTACCTGGGGTGTCGCTCAGGGAGCAAACAACTTCCCTGTTACGGCAGTTCCACTGGCTGCCAGTCTGCTTCTGGGCTTAAAAGTACTGGTTTTTACCTATAAAGCCCTAAATGGTTTGGGTCCAGACTATTTGAGAAACCGCATCCCAATTTAGAATCCCATTCGACCACTGCAATGAGCTGAGGGAGCCCTTTCTCGATCCCACCCCCATCCCAAACACGGCTGATGGGCACAAGAGAGAGGGCCTTCTCTGTGGTCACTCTGGCTCTCTGGAACGCCCTCCCTATTGAAGTGAGAATAGCCCCTTCCCTCCTCTCCTTAAAAAAAATATATCTTAAAACTCATCTATGCTCTATAGCCTATGGAGGAGCAGATGAATATTGAAAAAAAAACGACCCCCTCCTGACTGCTATCTTACTAAGGGATAACACACTGTAGGTCCACTTCATACCTATATGTTATATCTCTAGATTCCATTGGCTATTGCACCTTAGGAGGCCCAAATGTCACCTCTCCCATAGAGCTTATTTTATATACACTTTATATACACTAATTATGGTCTGTATTTTATTGTTTTATAGTGTTATGTTTTTATGTATATTTGCTTCTGTTTTTATGATTGTATAAGGCATCAAATATTTGCCTTTTGTATGTGTAAACCACCCTGAATCCTCTAGGGAGAGAAAGCGGGTTAGAAATAAATAAATTAAAAAATTATTATTATTATTATTATTATTATTATTATTATTATTATTACCTCTCTAGCAATATCTAGCTCTCTATTATAGCTCTTTAGTTAATTTTGACCTAGAGATTTCCTGATAAAGCATATTAATCAAATGTATGAATAATTAAATCAGTAGAAGTTCAACCTGTAAATGTGGAGGTCCAACTGTATAATTAATAAACTCTCCATACAAAAGTGAAAATACAGTTGTCTTCAAACAAGTAAATCCCACTGAATTCAGTACTTATTATCAGAAAAACCGAAGTAGGATTGCAACCTCAATCATATTTCCAGAGGTTTTTCTTCATTTAGTTTCTTACGCATTATTTATACATTACATTTTATGGCATTTGTGACAACTGATTTTTGAATTTCGATAGGTTGAGACCATTCACTCCAGCCCACTTTCCTGCATTACAGTGAGCACCAACTCTATCCCTTATGCCCAGTGAGCTTTGTGTGTCTAAAGTCTATTGATTTTTGTCCTTATATTTCCAAGGAGGAGATTTTCTCACACTTGTGGCGTCTTCCATCACTTTCTATTCATGGTATCGAAGGGGCTTTTTATGAACCAGGGATCAAAACAGTTATACCATCAAGAGTCATAGGGAAATTTTCTATCCGTCAAGTCCCTCACATGGACCTTTCTAAAATAGAATGTCAGGTAACAAAGTTTTTGCAGCTTAATGAAACTTTTCCATGTTTTTATGATAGAATCAATTAGGAAATGACATTTATAACCCAGGAACAATTATTGTGTTACATAGTGTAATGTTTTCTTGTTCTTGACAATCTCTTATGCACATTTAGTAGAGGTGGGAGGAAGAGGCATTTTGTTAAGTCCCTTGCTAGGAAAACTGGAAATGCCTCTCTTTTTTTTTTTGTGACTCCCTAACAAAGGGCAAAGACTTTTCTTCTGACAAGCTTTCAAGAAACGAGTATTTTAAAATAAAGATCTTCAACAGTTTGTACTATTACTAGTATTATTAAAACTATGTTTTATTTATAATGTACACTATAACTTCTGGGTCTATGCGACAGGTAGCCTCTGTTTCCTTTATCCATATTTGACATAATATGTCCTCTCTTTTACCAGATTTCCTTCATTTTAATAGTTTGTTATTATCCACAGTTTTGTTTATCCATGTACAGTCCGTGAACATATTCCCTATGGATACGAGGGTCACATTACACATTATATTTGTTTAAAAAAATATGTTAGGACTGCATTAAAATATAACATTAATATGAAAGTATAGAAGAATAAGAGCAAACAAATAAATTACAATTAAAGAAGAGTGATTTGAGAAAAAAGAAAAAAGAAATCAAACTTAAAACTGTATATCCAAGTCACTTTTTTGTTCAAATTGTTGAAAAGTTAAATGTAATTATCTTCTAACAATGACATATTGTATATTTCTGTTGTTGTTGTCATCGTCTTGTGTCTTCAAGTCATTACTGTCTTGTTGCAATTCTAAAGTGATCCTGCCACTGGGTTTTCTTGTCTTGGCAATGTTTGGGGCAAGACAATTGGCTCCTTTAGTCAACTAAGTATATGAAATTCAGCTCTTCTTTGAACCTTTGGATGACTGCATCAACTCTAGTGATGAAAGGCTGCAACTAATAGAATTCCCTTTGTCAGTTTAAGTCCCAAACAACCTGGGAAATCCCACCACTTGGCACCAATTATGGAGGACTCATCCCACCAATGATCACACACAAGGGAGGACTGAGGGAAGAATCTGCCACAGACAGACTCACGCACAAGATGGAGGACAAAAGGCAAACAACAAGACTTGGTCCAAAGCAAGGCCATGAGGGAAATCAGTGCACACACACACCCTCACTCATAGAAAGCCCAAACAGTGGAAAGCCACCACTGTATATATTTTATTTTGCCTTTGCTCCTTCCAACTGTTTCTTAAGGATTACTTTTGCTGCCACCAATATGTTATCTCATTAGGCCACCTCCTTTACTGAAATGTTTAAAAGCCACACTGAGACTTCAGTTGTAATAAAACAGGAAATTGTTTTTTATTTAGAACAGTCAAATAAGCTTAATGGTTGCAGTTAACTTGTTAGGCTTTTCTTCAATACAGAGGAATGGTACTTAAATCTTACATTTCTCTAGAACAAAGTTCTACACATAGAAATCCAGACAGGAATCCTTTAAAATCTTTTGAATTTTCCCTTCCTTCTTTCAAAGCACTCTAAACACTTTAGAGGCCTAATAACTACTATTTCCTCAAAGAGGTTTCTTTCCTATAACAAAGAACAGTTCCTAAATCTCTTCCTTCCCTTCAGATTCCTAGTTTCTTCTTCCTTCCTTCACCATCAATTCACTAACTTCCTCCTTCTTCAATCCCTATCTCTTAACTGATCCTAAAATGGCTGCTGTCTTCTACGTTTTGGCTCTGGCTCTGCCCATCTCCAGCTACTGAGCTTTTATCTCCAATTTCTATCAACCAATCAGACTGCCCTTCTGGCTTAGAGTCTGCCTAGACATTGCCTGATGGCTCCACCCTTAGCACGTGCTTAGCTTCAGCAAGCTGACCTGGCTTCTGCCTTTTAAACTAACCCTTATATACACCAGCCTTTTATACACACCAACCCTTCAGGGTAGACCAATCCATCACGGTCAGTCTAAACACATTAACAACGACTTTTATCCATTCTAGCCATCTACTCTCAACAACCATGCATTTGACTTGATACCTGCAGAGGACAGTCTAGGGCCAGAATGTGTTCTTATGTAGATTTCCAGCATGTGATGTGAAGCCTTGTCTGACCAAAATATCTCATTATGTCAGAGCCAATCTGAGTACAGCTGTGTTTGTTTAGCTGTTCCATGTACAAAGGTTGGACTTGATAGGGTGATGTTGGTGGGGATGTGCATTATTGGTGGGCAAGATATTATGGGTGTAAGCTCAGCAGAGATTACCCTCTTTCATACAACCACAAGGAAAAGGGGAACAGCTAACAGGAATGCCCAGCATTTGATCAGCCTCTGAACTGTGAATGGTGCGCTGTGCATTTACACAGACACACCAGACTAATTAGCTTTTTCTTCAGTTCTCTCCAATTTTTCTTTTACATCCTACACTTCATTTGAGTTCTTTTTCCTCAGCCCATTCCCTGCTTTCATTTTTTTTTGGTTGGATATTAATTTTCTTTTGTCTTGGGGGTGCATCTACACTGTAGAATTAATGCAGTTAGTCACCACTTTAACCATCATGGCTTAATACTATTGATTCCTGAGATTTGTAGTTTGGTGAGCCTTCAGCACTCTTTGACAGTGAAGCCAAAAGAACTCCAATGATTCCACAGCATTGAGGTATAGTAGTTTAAGTGGTGTTGACCTGCATTAATTCTATAATGCGGATGCATTGTTATAAACTCTTCACAGTCCTTGGCTTCAAAATGAAGTTTTAGTTTCTGTAAAACTATCATCTTTCTCTTCCCTCATAGAAGCAAGATAAGTTGTTTAGTTTTTCTGTTTGATAGAACATACCATATTACCATAATAGATTAGTTAATTGGTCGTTTCACGTCCATAATTATGCATATAATATTAAAATAGAATAAATATATTTTACTGAAAATATGTTATTTCTTTGTAGGTGAAAAAGTACTTAGAGAGGATATTCTCTAAACGGAAAAGCCCAAATAAACTAATAGTGTCGAGTGAAATGGGTGCAAAACCATGGGTTGCTAATATTAATGACCCTCAGTACGAAGCTGCTAAAAAGGCAATACAAAAAGGTTTGGATGGTTTTTGGAAATTGGTTTTGTTTAGAACATTTTTGATGCATGCATTTTTCTTGTCTTTTGTAAATCTGCAAATGTGTAAAGAAGAAAGCTGGTTATAATATATATTTAGAATGAATGATACAGTCTAAAATCATTTCATGCTTATTTTACCTTGTCAACATAATAATAATAATAATAATAATAATAATAATAATAATAATAATAATATACTTTATTTATATTCTGCTCTATCTCCCCGAAGGGAGTCAGAGCAGATTACAGAATACATATATGGCAAACATTCAGTGCATTATACAAACAACAAAGATAGATAGTACACAGACAGAGGCAAGACATCCCTCTTTTTCATCTCTGGCATCTGGAGGCTGTGCTCGACTTGGTCATAGGGAGATACTGTTGTTCCATTTTTTCACATTGAGGAGCTTGTTGTCCATGAATGTCTTCCTGATCGAATTGCTGGCATGCCTTTTACCTCCCTTCTAAAGCACTACCTATTTATCTACTTACATTGCTGTTTTAGAACTGGTAGGTAAGCAGAAGCTAGGGCTGATGGTGGGAGCCCACCTCGACCCATGGCTTGAACTGCCAAACTTCTGGTTGGCAAGATTTTCTGTAGCTGGCAGTTTAACCCGCTGTGCTAACCGCAGCCAAAACATAGACCAAACATACTGGATGAGATAAGTTTAATGCTTCAGATGAAAAATTCATCTGATTTGGGGGATTCCTTGCATAGACATAGGAAGATGATTCCAAAGATTTGTTTTATCTATTGCCAATTCATCTAAATTTTAATATGAATTTCAGCATATCCATCTATCTATTCATCATCCATACTCATATGTATAAGTGTTATTTACACATTTGGTGGTACTGTATGCATTACACACATTGTGGAAAACATTCTTGTTTGGGCATTGTCATGTGTCAAATATGTAGACTGTCCAAATTATTTTCAGTTTACTTTCATAGCTTTAAAAATGTACAGAACAATTTACTACACTCATATCTACAGTTTTCCCATTGTGCAGAATCCACTCAAAAGTTTTCAAATCCAATAGTTGGAAGATTTCATCTGATATATACAAAAGTCATGGTGCCAAAAATTGTGAACATAGCTTTGCATTCTCTGTATGCCTTTTCTCTTTCTTGCCCCAAAAATTCAGCTCAGATATACCAACCTATATGTCCCACCATAAACCTTTTATGAAGGTATTGCAGAATAGGTGTGAGCAATTTGGTGTCTGGTTTTTGGCTGGCCTCGATTTGTTTTTTTCTGGAGCTTCCTGAATTCGTAAGGGCAAAATACCATTTTTTGATCCGGCAGTCAGAAAATCTGTTTTTGCTCCATCATAAATCACGATTGCAGAAGTGATTTATGATGCATCTCAAAAAATGATGGCTGCTATTCAGTGATAAAAGACAACCATTAAAAGCCACCCCCTTGCCAAAATAGGTGAGATTGATCACAATCATGACATGCAAAATTATTTTGCATCTGAAGTAGGAAAAAACAGTATAATCAAGTTAATCAACCTTAACATGAATAATTTGTTTCACTGGTGGAATGAAGCACTTTACAATAGGTAACTAGCAGTTCCTGTTACTTTTGCTTGCTTTTTTATCATGATATGATGGTTCAATTTTATTTTATTTTAATTGGAACATTTCCTCTCTCTTCTCTGTGCATTCTAGTTTTTAATCAGGATCCAGATATGATCCGGGATGGTTCAACAATTCCTATTGCCAAGATGTTTCAGGATATTACCAAAAAAAGTGTGATGATGTTTCCCATTGGAGCTGCGGATGATGGAGAGCACTCCCAAAAAGAGAAGATAAGCAGGTTCTCATGTACAACCAATTCCATTAGTGTGTTTTAGAGGAAGAGTTTGAGACTGTTACTTTGTTGGACTACAACTTCCTGAACACAGTAGCCAGCATGGGCAACGGAGCTTTCAAGTCTGAAAAAACTACAACCATGAACCTGTAATTAGAAATGAGGAATAGTTACAATTCTCCTGTTATTTACATAGTCTCCACACACTGGGGATGACTGAAGAAAGAAAAATTTCTTCCGTAGCAGTAGGGAAAATTAATTCATACATCCACCCACCCCACCCCCTCCATTTTCTTTTTCGACTGGGGACAAAAACCTATTTTGTCTTCAGAAAATGGAGAGTAACCATTGTGTGTCTTATGTTTACCAATTTAAGGTCTGTAAGAGATCCAGAAGTGCTAGAACTAACTTTGGTACCTTTTTTCTATGCTTCCCTTCTATAGAAGAGATGTAGCCATATTCCACTTTCAGACTTTTCTGGAAATAAGAGTGTTGTTGTCCAGAGGTTTTCAACCTTTGACCCTTCAAATGTTTTTAGCTGTCAAAGGTCCCAGCCAGGCATAGCTTATGCTCAGGGATTCTGGGAGACAAAATCTAATATCCTAAAAGTTGAAAACTACTTTCTGCATGGGATGAAAATAGCTTAAACATATTGAGGTACATATGCCTTCTGGTTCTGAGACAATTCTAAGAGGGAATTCTGTTCTATGAACAGATCTCTAAGAAATATGGAACTGCATTAATAGCCTCTTTACTGATGTATGGATGCTTAATTTCTTCCTCTTTCTACCATTGCACATACGTATGCACACATCCACACTAATATAATAGTAGATCATAGATTATGTTGTGGGTATTTGTGTAGTCATATGGAACCATTCCATGTAACTCTATGCTCAGTCCAAAGAGCTGAAGATAATAATAATAATAATAATAATAATAATAATAATAATAATAATACCTTATTTATACCCCACCACCATCTCTCCAACGGGGACTCGGGGTGGCTAACATGAGGCCAAGCCCAGAAAATTACAACAAATCAAAATCAAATACATCCAGCAAATAATAACATCAAATGAAATGTAATACAAAATCAAATACAGGAAATAAAATGAAAAAACAAGGATAAGCACGGTGGGCTGGACCAAATTACAAGGGATAGAATAAGATATAAAAATATCAAAACTCTGGGTGAGATGGATGAATAGGGTAGTGTGCCTGGTGTGGGATTTCAGATGGGAGCAAGCAATGGGGTGAAAATCACTAAAGCAGTGGTTCTCAACCTGGGGTCCCCAGATGTTTTTGGCCTGCAACTCCCAGAAATCTTTACCAGCTGTCAGGATTTCTGGGAGTTGAAGGCCAAAAGCATCTGGGGACCCCAGGTTGAGAACCACTGCTTTAAAGGATGAGATAAAGTGCACCGATGGACATATTGTGCTGAGCTGGTCATGATGTGGGGATTATAGTCCTTCCTCAAAGGCATACCAAAACAGCCAGGTTTTTAAGCTCTTCCTGAAGGCTGCCAGGGTGGACGCTTGCCTAATCTCTCTGGGCAGCAAATTCTACCACAGAGAAGGCCCTCTCCCTCATCCCCACAAGTCATGTTTGCGACGGAGGGGGAAGCAAGGGGAGGGTCTCCCCAGAGGATCGAAGGGATCGTGTAGGTGCATAGAAGGAAATACGGTCATGAAGATGTATGCCTTTTCAAAGCAACATAACATCTTTTTGGGTGGCTTCATAATTGTTTTTGTCTTCTTTCTTGATCAGGTCTAACTACATTAATGGAATAAAGGTGTTTGCCTCCTTTTTACTGGAGATTTCAAAGCTCCACAAGACACTACAGGAAGCTTCCAGTTTGAAGAAAATGGCATGAAGCACATTATGGACTGCCTGCCTAGTGCCTACTTCTTTGAGAAAATTTTCAACTTCAGAATAAACATGGATAAAACCTCTAAACCTGTGTGAGTGCTTCCAGAATTCACTGGTATGACTGCCACATATATTTGTCATTTTGAATATATTGTATCATTTAAATCTATGTATTTCAGTCATTTTCCTATCTTTTATTCTATTCTAATGTGGAAAATGAATATGGTTGTTTCCTGATGAAATGTCGCTACTAGTCATAAATGAAACATTTAGTGTGTCATATAATTTCAAAGTCAATCCATTCCTATTTTCAGATACATTTCAGTGTAATATAGTTTATCTTTCTTTTTGGTTTGTATGAATTTAGCACTACCATATTTAATGCCTATTTAGGTTGGATGACTATATAACTCTCTGCTTGATATAAATATCCGTACTGTTAATTTTTATCCCTTACTCCTCTCTTTATTCTTCAAAGTTTGTCGACAATGGTTTTCTAATTTCTATCACTGCTGACAATAAAAACGTCCTTTCTGACTGTGCTGTAGTACTTTATGGATTACTAGAGAAATTCTCCTCTTAGGTTTTCATTACCAAGTAAATGAAAGAAACCTAGCTTGAAATATTTTGCTGCCCGAGGCAAATTAGAAGGTGGTCTCTCACTTGAGATATAGAAGTCAGCTGGATTGTTCACTGAACAATAAAGATGTACGTGTTCACTAATTTTCTTCTTGAAGGAATCAAGGAGTAATTTTAGTACTTTCCTTTCTGCTGTGATCTTTCTGCTCTGATCTTGGAAAAGCACACAACTTTAGAAACTTAATTGAAGTTGAGTTCTTCTGCACAAAATGTACAAAACACCATTTTCTGTGCAATAAAATCTTTTCCTGATTGGAAAATGCTGTTTGCTTAGCAAATCAATCATGTCAGTTTTGGCCATAGTTTCCAATTACAACACTTTCAGCTTTAATCATCTTTCCTACATCTAGTAACTGAATTATGGTAATATATTTTCCCATGATACTTCTCTATCATTTTCTGTTTATTCAAGTATTTGAATACATCAACTAGATTTCTCTTTTTTCTGTTGTAGCAGAAAATGTATACTTGTTATTAAAATGTATACTTGCAGAACACGAGTGTGGATTTTGCTACCAAAAGGTACCTAATCCAAAAAGGCAAAAGAAGAATGAGCTATAGGTGCAACATATTGTTGGCTAAGAATAGAATATTATGTACAGATCAAAACTACAAAAATGCATCAAATCATTCCAGTATAGGGTTTCGAAATTTGCATTTTATAGCTAAACAATGCATATCCTCAGCGTGTTTTTTTAAAATTCTGTTAAATTTGTTCAGATGGATGGGATACCTTTTGAAAACAAGCTCTACGAATATTTGGAACAATGTTTTCTTTCTAAAACAGGAAAGCAAGACTGTACTAGAAGTATCTAATCAACCTTCTCCAGCTTGACACTCTTCCAAAATGCTGTATAAGAAACCTCAGAATCCATGGAAAACATGGTCATGTTGGTTAGGGACAACCGGTATTGTAGTTCTGCATTAGGAAGTTTTGGGAAAGGAAAAGGAAGTGCAGACTAAATTGGCTCACAACCAAAGCCGTTGCATACTATAATAAATAATAATAAAACTTTATTTATATCCCGCCACCATCTCCCTGAAGGGACTCAGGGTGGGTCACATAAGCACTCAATAGTGCAAACATATAAATACAAGGCACATAAACAAAATAACACGGTAACAATAAAGTCCACATAAACAAATTACATGAAACATCGTATAAAACCTCTTACCTACTTAAAACATCAATAAAATGCAGCAGTGGCTACAAATATAAAAATAAAACTGCAATTAACATCAGTCCCATAAAGTGCAAATGGGGGGGGGGGGGAATCACTAGGTCATTGAATATAACAAAGTAGAGTTCTAGACATGATCAAAGGCCTGTTTGAAGACACATGTTTTCCGATTTGTTCTGAAAAACTGAAGAGTGGGGGCTAGTCCTATCTCTCTAGGGAAAGCATTCCAGAGCCAGGGCACCACAACCGAAAAGGCTCTCTCTCTCATACACACCAACCGCACTTGAAACGAAGATGGGACCGAAAAGAGGACCTCTCCAGCAGATCCTAGAGCCTGTGCAGATTCATAGAAGGAGATGCGGTCTTGAAGATAGGTTGGACCTGAAGCATCTAATACAAGTATACATGCTACATTATTGTCAAAAAAACAATCTTCCCATAGGGAGCAAACATTGTAGTGGATGTTCTGCAAATATGAAAAAGAAAGAATATTGCAAAGTGATTAATGGTTGTAATTTCTCAAAACAATCTCTACCTGTTGCAGCCTTAATCTGAAAGAAACAAAATTGTGGGAAGTTTTTATAAAAATGCAAATGGGATGTGATTGCATGAACAATGTGTTGATTCAACAAAAAGTTGTTAATTCTCTTTCGTATAAGATCAGTTTTGTACATGAATTAGTTGCCAAGGGCAATAATAAATTTTGAACTGTAAAGAGAGAAAGCAATTGGATGCATTTGGGGATCAAACAAAAACTGTAGCATGTGTTTCCGTGCATGGCTATAAGTTAGCATCATGGGGAACCTAAATTGCATATGCAACAGAGCTGGCATACAAGAACAGTAACTAAATTGATTGGTACAATATTCTACTAAAGAAACTAAACTCCATCATTCCTAGGCCCAATTACTGAAGAAAGTCCTTCTTCTATCCCAACTCCCACTGCCCTGGCCTCGGAGGAAGAGAAGAGCAGCCAGCATTTGCTGGACTTAACCTGTTTATCATTCCCTTTTCCCTTTGTACCATGCATGATGGGGACAGGGAATTGTCAAAATAACATTGGTGGAATTATATAGTATAATATAAGAAAAAACAAACACTTTCATAATATATCATTGCGGCAGTTTTGATATCACTTCAACTGCTTCATATATCTACTTTCTAGCATTGTGTAGATAGCAAAATGTGCTTCTAACATCAATGGTCTCATTTTGACAAATAGGAGAGCTGGACCAGAGTCAGACACACCCACAGATACTAAATCAAGAAGGGTTTTGTGATGTTCTGTACATACGTTGCATGCATATTAGACAAAATAAAGCAAAATATTATTAATCAGAGAGCCAGCCTGGTGTAGTGGCCTCAATGTTGGTATACAAATTACATGGAAGCCCAATGACTGCCCTTGGGTGAACCACATTCTCTGAGCCTCAGAGGAAGGGAATGGCAAACTATCTCTGAAAAATCATGCCATTAAACCTCTGTGATAGGTTCATCATAGGATCATGGTAAGTCAGAAATGTACTGAAGCCTCACAGCAATTGTTAAGTAATGTCCATACATAAAAAAGAGATTAAGTGGTATTTTGACAGAAGGTGAGAGCATCAAATGTAGGAGATGGCAGGTAACTGGCTGAGTATTTGGGATTTTTTTAAAGGCTATTCATGCCAGGAGATAGCAATTAGTTGGATACATAGAGATTATTTAGAGCTGTCAGAAGAAGTCGGGGATCAATTGATTAGAGGAGAGAATAGAATCTGTTTGAGGAAGATTAATTCGAGATCTTATCACATTAGGATATACTCCATTTCTGAGACTCTTTGAACATGATTCCTAATGCTTCCTATCACATGACGTTTGCCTCATTCTATCAGTAACCCATTGGAATCCATCTGCAAAACGTTGCACAAATGGAGTAATTGCACATAGGATTCTAATCATGTTTTCTGATTTATTACAATATTATATGTTGCTGCAATGCTGTTTTTATGCGGGACTGGAAAATCTTCATGCATTCAATCAGCTAAATACAAGCTATATAACTGTGCAATATTAGAAGAAGAAAAAGGTGATGTAGAGAGGCGTTCGAGTAGATTGGGAGAAGCTATTCATTCATGATGTGATGAATATGAGAGCAATATTTTATAAATGTAAAAATTGGATGTGATGGGGTTAGTATGCATCCCGAATACAGTATGCATTAAGTCCTTAAAAATATGGGATGCATACTAATATAAACAGGTATCTCAATGTGATAAGCACATAAAATAAAAGATTAAGCACATAAGAATAAAAATAAACTAAGATAAAATAGCATAATGTATCCATTTGTATTTCAGTCAGTAATTGTGAACAGTTTCACTATGCTCTTCTGTTAAATAAAGTATTTTGTTTATACACACACAGAGACCATTTGGGGTTGCTAGCCGAGATGGCTATTGATCAAGCCAAGCATATTGATTGGTGTCTGTGTTGGCAGCCCCTTAGGTAACCAACAGAGCATTACCACATGGGGCGACAATGGTATGGCAAACTGAGGTCCTCACAGGGATCAGAAGAATCTCTAGGACAAGAAGATTTCTCAGGTGAAATATGTGGCTACAGAAAAAAAACACATCTTCTCAATCATACAAGGAGAAAAATATGAAAAACAGATTCAGTACAACTCTCATATCCATAGTTTCACTAACTAGTCTGAAAAACATGTTTCTAGGTCCTCCAGTGTATTTCTACAGTATGCTTCCACCAGAAGTTGACCAGAGAGTAGTGAGGGTAGAGATCAGAGCACAGTGTAGCTAGAAATGCTAAATAAACTGTTGTTATATTTGTTTATATTTGTATTATCTTGTGGCATCAAATTGTTGCCGGTGTAAGCTGCCCTGGGGGGTTGAGAAGGAAGGGTTAGAAATGTGTAAAATAAATAAATAATAAATAAATACTATAAATGCAATTTCATGGTATGCTTCCATTGAAAGTCATTCATTTCAGTAGGCTTCATTATTATCTGTGGTTTCACATTTCCACTGTAAGTCCAGAAAGATATCCCCCAAAGATATTGGGGTCATATTGTATAGCACATAGTTTCTTTGTACAATTTATTTCTTTGTGCACTCCACTGTATTTACAAGCAAATGGTTTGAGTTTTGTTTCCCATAAAGGCATGGGCTTGTTGATCATGGCATATGTTATCTCTTTCCAGATGTTTTCTCTTTAATCTCTTTGAACATAAATCGTTGCTGCTCTTCTCTTTTGATGACAGCCATTTCCTTCCTAGTTTTGTGAATATGCTTTTGTCAATAAGTAATTTAAAGCTGTTAAAATGCTCCTTGATGCATCCGTCTTTATGGGTTCAAGCCTTTGTGAAGCATTAATTGCTTGCAGCGTTTCATCAGAATCAACTGCTCTGTCGCTAATTATACTAGAAAACCACTAGAACTAAAAAACAAAATAATTGTAAGACATTAATATGTGAGAACTTGCTCGTGGCTATTTCTGATGAGTATAGCAGGGAAAGAACTGTTTCCTTTACCATACTCATAATTGGAATTTGATTATCATATTGAGACTAAAAACACTCATTGACAGTGCAATTAGATTTTAAATCTCATTAAAATGAAACAGTCTTGTGCAATCACACTTCACACATTTTTGTGATTTTAGCACAACTCCTTGACTTTTTCAAAGTCTTATCAGTTTGTGTTTACAACATAGATTTTGTGTAGTAGTGAATGTGCAGTGCTTTCTCCATTCAATATTGTTGGCTCAGTCAAATGTGATTGTGCTAACTATCAAGTAGGACTGTGCACAGATCCGTTTTTCAAAATGGGATCCTGCTGTTTTGGCTCTTTTGGCCAGCCGTAATGGCACGGACGCTGCCGCCATATTTTTTTTGGCCACAACAGACCAAAAACGACTGCCTTTGGTTTCTTTTGGTTACATGTGGAGTGCAGGTGGAGTGCAGAGAGGGAGGCAGCCGTACACATGGGTTTCCCTATGAGGCTGTGAGCCCTGCTGCCTGCCTGAGCCAGTCAGAAGAAAGCCACTCACGTGCTCCGTGTCTCAGCTCAGTGCATTCACTGCTCTTTGGAGCTTGCTTTTGGACTCAATTCCAAGCTTTTCCTTTTGGAAATTTCATTTATGGGCTGTGAGAGGGCATTGGGGTGTATGTTTGTTGGGGTAGTTTACTGGAGGGAGGGGATATCCTGATTCCCTTGAGTCCCCACAGGGAGAATTCAATTCCTCCCCAGGTCTTGTTATATTAGAGGAAAAGGATATTAGAGGAAAAGATCCCAGAAAACGTGGTTTCTTAAGCCTGATGCCTTAACCCAGATCTAGCTGAAGAAGACTAAAAGAAGGGATGCCAGAAACAGTGGTTTCTTAAGCCTCATGCCTCAATCCAGGGCTAACTGGAGATTAAAGGAAAGGACGCCATAAACAGTGGTTTCATAAGCCTCATGCCTTAACCCAGAGCTAGCTGAAGGAGATTAGAGGAAAGGATGCCAGAGACAGTGGTTTCTTAAGTCTGATGCCTTAAACCCAGGTCTTATTGAAGGATATGAAAAGAAACAATCCCAGAAACAAGGGTTTCTTAAGACTGATGCCCTAAAAATGACAGAAAGGTGAGCTTTGTAAGTTTCCCATTGCCGCCAATTGGCCGGATCTTCCCAGATCTTTCAGCTGCCAAACAGAAAAACAAATTCTCCCCCAGTCAAATTTGGGAGAGTCCTGAAAAACAGATTGGGGTGACCACAAAAATCTGGACACTGAAAACTGCACGGGTTTAACCCAATTGCACACCCCTACTATCAAGGAAATATATATTTTGTCACTATTAATAATGAACAAAGGTACCCATCTTTGCTTGGTTTAAATCCCAAGTCCCCTGTTGTTGTTGTTGTTGTTGTTGTTGTTGTTTTTATCATCCTACCTCTCATTATTATAATCATTATTAGTATCATTATTATTATTACCTCTACTGCTGCTGCTGCTATCACCACCACCACCACCACTATTATCATCTTTTTATTGGAGCCCTTGGTGGCGCAGTGGGTTAAACCCCTGTGCCGGCAGGACTGAAGATCGACAGGTCGCAGGTTCGAATCCAGGGAGAGAAGGATGAGCTCCCTCTATCAGCTCCAGCTCCTCATGCGGGGACATGAGAGAAGCCTCCCACAAAGATGATAAAAACATCAAATCATCCCGGCGTCCCCTGGGCAACGTTCTTGCAGACGGCCAATTCTCTCACAACAGTAGTCACTCCTGACACGACAAAAAAAATAAATATTTTTATTGCCTGCATTTCCCTCAAAATTGGGACTCCATGTGGCCTACATATTAAAAAAAACAAGAATTAAAGACATGCATTAAAGGAAAATTGGACCAGTAGCCTTATTCAAAACATACATTCTAATATAAAGATTTTTTTTAAGTTAGGCAATACTGTTTTAAAACAATGCAGCACTTAAAGCACGTTTTAAGAAAGCTTTTGATTCTAAAAGCCTGCCTGCGCCAAAGATATTTGCCTGCCAATGAAAGGACAGCGGGAGCGTTCAAGCCTCCCTAGGGAATCCTGGCCATCTGGTGGTGCTGAACCCAGTTTGGCACCATTACTGTCTGCCTCCAATTTTTGTTGTCACAGCAGCCAATGGGTGCAACGTAGCAATTGCCCCTCATTTGTTGCTTGGATTGACCATGATGAAGACATTAGAGCAACATGGGGAGGGGAGGGGGAGGGGAGGGACCATACCCTTTTACCCTTTCCTCCAATTGCTTTGTTTCTCCAGCTAGCATTTCTCCAGACGACAAGTGAGGAACACTAGCCATGTTGCATCCACTGTCAAAAATAACAGCAGGGCAGTGTGTGCCATCCCATGTCCCGAGACCACCCGAACCTAGGGAATACAGGATGGCTGTGTAAACAGTTATGACAGGTTCCATCTCGGAACCCACCCAACTGCTTATAGAAGTCCAAAGATTCTTGGGGAGAATTTGAAGCAACCCAGAAGTTTGTTAACATGGTACGAGGTGAATCAGCTCTGTGTATCACCAACCACAGAGCTGGTTCACTCCCTTGAGGAATAATGGATTGTTGTAGATGTGTCCATAACATTATAAAGAAGGGCATACAGCTAATCCATAGCAGTGAAAGGGGAAAAAAATTGGGGGGAGGAAGATTTCTTGGAGAAAAAATATTTCTGTTTACAGACATTTGTAGTTCATTTTTAGAAAAGCTCTTAGAAAACATTCTTGTTGGACAACAACTTTCAGAATGACGCAGCTTACCTGGCCAGGGGCCATAAGAACATAAGACTCTCTCTCATTTCTTATGAAGGTGAGTGACTGGAACTTTCCGTACTGCACAAAGTAATACGCAATATAATCCCACAGAACTTCACTAATTAGTTGATCGGGGTGGGGGTAAAAAACACAACCCAAACCGATAGTTAGCCAAGCAACATACAAAGATGATAGCACAAACAGTTTTCCCGTTTTAAATTTAGATAGTTTAAAAAAAGCCCAGCCAGTTAAAAAATTAACAAACTGTTTGGATAGGCTAAATAAACAGTGGAATCTGAGATAGAAAGAGTGCCCGGTAGCTGATAAGGCAAAACCTTCTGAAAATTTCTACAGAACTCATCCCCAACTTTCCTTGCTGATTCATCTTGCAAATGCAAACTACTGCTTGATTCTACCATCATGGTGAAGTATTATCTTTTTCTTTTATTTCTCTCTGATGAAGATAGCTGTGGAAACAAGAGAAATGACATAGTATGCATTGGTCTGCGTAATATTAACTGTAACACAACTCTGTGAGGTACAACCTTTTCTGAGCTGCCTGGAGAACAGAGCGTTCTGCAAATGTAGTAGGACCATTTGCAGATTTTAAATGTTGAGGCGACTTGTTTAAGGAGATAAGAGTTTTTCATGTAATCTGGACCCGAGTTGTAGAGGACTTCAAAGGTCAAAATCTGCAGTGTGAATTCTGCATGGAAATGGACCAGGACTTGGAGAAACTGTTTCAACAGACGAGTCACATGAACCCTGTAACCAGCCCTAGTCAACAGTCTGTCGCAGATTTTTGGGCCCAATGAAGTTTCTGAACAGTTTTCAAAGGCAACTCCATGTGCAGTGTGTTATAGTAATCCAAATGGGATGCAATCAAGGCATGTCTCACCATTGCCCATGATGAAGGGGTTAAACTTGGGTATGTCTGGTCCTTTGTGTATGTGTGTGTGTTTAGGAGGGGGGAAATGAGTACCAATAGCTGAGTCAGTGGAGGGAAAAAGGGTTTTTCCTGACTTCTTAATGAGCAATGAGAGTACTAGTTTGGAACCCTCAACACTTACTGGTATGTAACTAATTACGAAGCTATACAGATCCATAACAAAAAGGGAGCAGCTAACTACATGGATGCTTTGTATAAGGTAAAGGCAAAGGTTTCCCCTTGACATTAAGTCTAATCGTTTCCAACTCTGGGGGGTGGTGCTCATCTCAATTTCTAAGCCAAAGAGCTAGTATTGTCTGTAGACACCTCCAAAGTCATGTGGCCAGCATGACTACATGGAGCATCGTTACCTTGCCACTGGAGCGGTACCTACTGATCTACTCACATTTGCATGTTTTCAAACTGCTAGGTTGGCAGAAGCCAGGGCTAACAGCGAGAGCTCAGCCGCTCCCGGGATTTGAACCGCCAACCTTTCAGTCTGCAAGTTCAGCAGCTCAGAGCTTTAACCCGCTGTGCCACTGTAGGATCTGAATGCTCTGTATAGTTTAACCCAAAGGAGATTATTAAGGCAGAGATAGTAAGGAAAGATAAGCCATGATAAGAATGAAAATAGCAGTCCAGCTGCCATATTCTGCCATTATAGGGCCCTTCCACACAGCCATAAAACCCAGAATATCAAGGCAGATAATTCACAATATCTACTTTGAACTGGGTTATCTGAGTCCACACTGCCACATAATCCAGTTCAATGTGAATTTTATACAGCTGTGTGAAAGGGGCCAGAGAGAATGAATATAAGGCTTAGGCTACAGATTGGTCTGAAAATGTTGACCAGTCATCTATGCCTCACTTGGTTATTTATTGTAGTAATGTGCTTCGATTTCTGACTTTTAGTGACCCAAGACAAACCTATTGAATGTTTTTCTTGGCAAGATTTGTTCAGCGAGGTTCTGCCTTTGTCACTCTCTGAAGCTGAGAGAAGGTGGCTTCCTCAAGGCCACGCAGGGAATAGGACTCCATCAAAACGTTTAGTGTTGCTTAGAGAAGTAAGGCTGATGTGAGCAGGGAGTAGAACAATAGCTCAACTCCCGTGTAATCCTATTAACAATTAATGCCCAGAGAAACCTTAGGGCTTAGGAAAAGCTTAAAGAGTAAATAAAAAGTATACAGAACTTTGAACAGCAATATACTAAAGAAGAACCAGGCAAATTCTATTTCATGTGAAATGCATGAAAAAATGGTTTCAGTAGTATGGTGTCTGTTCACCTTCCTGATATGAGTGGGGAATAGCTGTGGAGATCTTGACATCTTTATATGGCTTCCCCACTAGTTTAAAAAAAAAAAAGAAGAGGGAGAGCAAACAGGTTGATGTAAAAATTGTATTGTTTTATTTCAAATGCAAAAAAAACAAACATGGGAATCATTTTCATGCATATGCAAATGCAAAGATGGCGAGAAAGGCTGTATTCCCTTTCTGTGTCCAAATGCTCAGGAGGTGGTTTTCAAACAGAATGACCCATAACAACTGACCTGTGTGATCAGATGCAATATCTAGTTGTAAGTCTCCAAATAGATTTGAAGATCAACACTATTAGCTCCCAGTGGCACAGTGGGTTAAACTCTTGCACCGGCAGAACTGCTGAGCAATAGGCCAGCGGTTTGAATCCGAGGAGAGCAGGTTGAGCTCCCTCTGTTAGCACCAGCTCCTCATGCGAGGACATGAGAGAAGCCCCCACAGGATGGTAAAACATCTGAATGTCCCTTGGGCAACATCCTTGCAGACAGCCAGTTCTCTCACACCAGAAGTGACTTGCAATTTCTCAAGTTACTCCTGACATGGAAAAAAAAGCTCCCGTTTTGAAGATGTGTGTATGTGTGTGTGTGTGTGTTGAGGGGGTGATGGATTAGGGAAACGTGGCTTGTCTAAATTGCTTGTTGTTAACTGCCATCATATCAACCTTGGTCCCATGCAGTTTGAAACTGCATTAAATGGTCAATGAAGACACATTTACAGGTATCAGTGGCCCCTGTAAATGATGACATGGGGCTTTCAAGGGGGAAATCACACCTTGGAAGTTCAACGTGTAATTTAGGTGCCACAGAACAAAGGAAATCTTTCAACCGATAAAGAGGCTATTTTTAAATGTTTAACAGCAAAAATGGGGGGATGGCGATCCCATGAACAGCTTCCACACTCACCCTACATTCGCAAAGATCAGGACTAAAAGATCTGGATCTTTGCAGGTGTTTTTTCAAACCGAAATAAACCTGGATGTCCAGGTTGATTCATTTGGATGCCTCATGATAATGTGTCCCCTACACAGCATTATAGTGCAGTGTAAATGCGGTTCCCTAACGATAAAATAGGAGCCCTCGGTGGTGCAATACGTTAAACCTTTGTGCTGGCAAGACTGAAGACCGACATGTCGGAGGTTTGAATTTGGGGAGAGTGCAGATGAGCTCCCTCTGTCAGCTCCAGCTCCCCATGTGGGGACATGAGAGAAGCCTCCCACAAGGATGATAAAACATTAAAAATGCGGGTGTCCCCTGGGCAACATCCCTGGAGACAGCCAATTCTCTCACACCAGAAACAACTTGCAGTTTCTCAAGTTGTTCCTCACACACACACACACACACACACACACAAACTAACAATAAAATAGTTTCAAATTGTATTATATGGCAGCATAGATGGGGGCCTTTGACTCATATTAGCCCTATGAATGAGTGACCTCCAAGTCATCTTCATACAGTTCTGCTCAGGTTTGCAAGCTCAAGGCTTTGATTGATTGGTTCTGGTTTGGGTTGATTGCCTTCTCCCCATATTTTGCAAATGAAAAGGCTCTGATTGAGAAGGGAGGAAGAGAGGTAATCATCCTTGTCCACGTTGTTCAGCAGGCCATGCTCACATAATGCATATAGGCAAAACTGCTTTTGCATTGCAACATATGCTTGAGCATACACACACCTTCAGTGAAAGACTGACATTAGGGTGTTTCAAAAGAGAGCTGTGTTTATTGCATCAATTCCCCTTTGCTCCCTAGCTGAGCTTACTGCTTCCCCGTGTCCCCAGTTAACATCAGTTGCCAGCTTGGTTCATTTCTGGTATATGAGTGTCACTTTCCTCCCACTGTAGGTCGCAAAAATTTCTTAGGTCAACCTGGGCTTGATCTACACTGTCATATAGTGCAGTTTAGTTGCATTTAACTAGATTCTACGGCAGTGTAGACTCACATAATCCAGTTCAATGCAGTTAAACTGCATTCTGAAACTGCATTATTTGGCAATGTGGATCCAGCCCCAATCTTACTAATTTTGCAATACTCGGTCTTTGTAAAAGCTGCATAGAAAATAGCAGCTATAGGACATCTAGAAGAGAAACCTTTAACATAATGGATCAGATTTTGAATACAATGAGAATCATAACCTTGGATAATTTCTTATTATCAACAACACAGTCATTTTGCATGCGGATGCTTTGATTTATTTGGATTGATTCTCTTGGATGTTTAGTTACTTGAGAAAGCTCAAAATGAAACAAGATCAGGACAAAGGTTACTGGAAATTGTAACAAACAGGAAAAATTCTCTCCTTATGTTTATTTCGTTTCTTTTGACCTGAATAATAGGAACAGATCATTATTTAGAATATTGTTTTTGTGAAACATATTAAAATGATGTAAAAATGGTGATGGCAACAATGACAATAATAATAATATCTTTTACAGATTATCCTGCTATTTCTTCTTTTTTTCACAAAAAATATTGCTGGAGCACCATCAGACTCTAACGTATTTGGCTACATTGAGGAACATCAAAATACATATGTACAGGTACTTTTGTGTTGCTTTTGAGATAAGCTAAAAAAAATACAATGAAGGAAACGCGCCCCAAGTGCAGGTTTTCATTCACAACTTTTTCTTTCCACAGAGACTTAAAGAATGGGTGTCTATTGAAAGTGACTCCAGCAACTCCGAAAAGAGATGTGAGGTGGTAAAAATGATGAATTTAACTGCTGAGCAGTTAACACAGTTAGGTGCCACCGTTGAACTGGTCGAACTGGGGAATCAAAAGGTCAGCCATTTCCATAGGGATTCAGCATGAAATCTATCTGTTTGTCACCAAAGAGATTTCGTTAATTCCCAGACATTTCAGTCTACACATGATAAGTTCCTACACCTTTATTGAAATAATATACGTACATAAAGTCAGATTTTGACCATTGCTATATTAATCAGTTATTATTAATAAATCACTTAATTTTAACTGGCGAAATTGTACATGGTTGAATTGTATTTATTTATTTATATTCTGCACTTCTCCCCCGAAGGGGACTCAGAGTAGATCACAGAACACATATACGGCAAACAGTCAATGCCGATTACACAATGACAAGACAGACAATACATTTTGGCATCTTGGAGGCTGTGCTCAGTTCCGGCCACAGGGGTGCTGTCACTCCATCTTCCCTGCCAAAGAACTTTACCTGTTCGTAAACTTTCTCCTTTTGATCAAATTGCCGTGCTTAAATACCTCCCCGCTTTAATGCGGTACCTATTTATCTACTCACAATTGCTTGTTTTCGATCTGCTAGGTAGGCAGGGAGCTGGGCTGAAAGTCAGGAGCTCGCCATGATTTGGGCTTCGACCTGTGTACCTTTTGATTGGCAAGATTTATTGCAGCTGGTGGTTAACCTGCTGTGCTAAAGCCCAGCCCAAGGGTTTCAAAGACCAGTATCCAGATTGACTTCAGTTTTGGAATGGTGGACTGTCACATGTCCTTTCATTCCATGACTGGTATGTGTGCATTTTGTAGCAACCAACAGTCACTGTGAAGTTGGACTATTGAAAAGTTCTCCTTGGACAATCACCCATAAGGGTCAGGAAACTCCATTTCATTATCATCACCATAAAAAATTATACTATCATGATCATTATATTATTTGTAAACCCTTGACAGTCCCTGGGATAAACGATACATCTTTTTTGTTGTAGCTGCAAAATGGAAATGAAATTCCTTTGCCACCTGTAATTCTGGCAGAAATTATAACGGACCCTAAAAAGCCTACCATTTGTTTCTATGGACACCTGGATGTTCAACCAGCCAAATACGAAGATGGATGGTTAACACAGCCATATATTTTGGAAGAAAAGAATGGTAATTATTTATGTTTATTAAATGGTGATATGATAGATCCAATATGTCACTGGATACATATTGTACATATTGTCGGATGGAAAAAGTTGACGAGATCTCTTGCCTTTAGGCTTTGCTTGTGGACTGCAGAGAAATCTAACCACTAGCTGTGGAGTTAGAATGCCTAATCATGATGCTGGGCATTCAATCTAACACAACAGGATTATAATGTCTTCATTGTAATGTGTAAAATAAAGATCAGGATCCTGTTTGCTTATGCACCTGCACATTCCGATTTGGAAGGTGCTGGGTATTTTGGCTGAATGTGGCATTGAAGTATTCAATGAAAACAGAACTGTGTAGTGTGTCATTGTGCATGCACAAATTAGTGCGCATGCACATGTGGTTTATATGTCAATATACATGCACAGATATATGTCTCTCATTTCTACAATATTCAATACAAGGGCTCTTCAGCACAATTAGTGTGGATATTAATGACAGGCAATTCATAATATCTCAGTTACTATGAAACTGGCATGGGGATGCGAGACCAAGAATTAATAGGCTGAGAAAAGGCATGGGAGACTCAAATCAAGGATGCTCAATTTTGGTAAGGGACCAAATTTGAATATTAGATTTTATTTTCATGTCGGGGGCATATAGTCTTGTAGGCATCCTCAAGCTTTCTCTAAAAACACTTTTAGAGATTTCAAGGAGACCTGAAACCTACTTGTTTCCTACATTTTTCCCAGCACAGTGTGTGTGATGGGAAATGAGAGGCAGTAGAGGTATGAAAAGGCATTGGAGGTTGTTGTTGTTGACGATGATGATGTTATTATCCTGCCTTTCTCCCTGTGGGACTTAAGGCAGCTCATGGTTTACATTGCCCATTCCTACTGTAATTTGGTTATCAGATGATGCGTCAAAATAGGGAGAGAACACATTATTTATGCATTATACAGTCAGTAAGTTTTGCATTTTTATAATGCCATAGTGGTGAGTTCTAGAGAGAGAAAAGGTCCCAGGCAGCCTTTGGGAAACAGGAACGGAGTTGGGAAATCCCAGGGAGGTTGGATAAAAACACTTTGGAACATGTAAAGGCAACGAAGCTATCTGGTTTAGTCTAAGATTCAAAAGGGATTGGTGGTATAAATTTAGAAAGAATGAATAATGTGATTAGAATTTTTTAAAAATCAAATCTCATGTTTGGATAACATCTAATATAAGCAAATATAATTTTCCCTTTCCTATATCCTCCAGCTGTTTCCCAGGGAAGCACTTCTCTGTGATGTTGCAATTTACTGTTGCTTGTTACAACAGAAATCAAATAGTAACCCAGATAATCATATCTATTTTTCTTCCATTTTAATTAATTAAAGTTTAATTCTTAAGATATGATTGTATTCTGGAGGTTCTGTGAACATGCGGTATAAGAGGTGGTTCTAGGTAATTTTCAACGGTAAGCAAACAGTATTTTGCTCCCCCCCCCCAAACCAATCATTGATATATATTTTATGTTCGTCATGGGAGTTCTTTGTGCCATATTTGGTTCAATTCCATCATTGGTGAAGTTCAGAATGCTCCTTGATTGTAGGTTAACTATAAATCCCAGCAACTACAACTCCCAAATATCAAGGTCTAATTTCCCCCCAGAGCACCTCTGGGCAAAATAAAAAATACAGCAAATGCTTACTTTGCGTAATAGGTTGAGCCGCCCCTGGGTATGTGTAAAACTACCGAATCAAACGTTATGAGAACCCCAGTTCCACCTTATGCCTTTGCACAGTAGCTGAAATCTACCCTTTTTTAAAGGGAACGAGGGGACATTTGATTTGGTATGTCTTGGGAAGGAAGGGGTTTTATTGGTGTAATGTTGAATTTTTAATACTGGCAATTAGCAGTCCAAAACTAGAGATAACCTGAACTTTGGGAAAGTGTATGCATAGTTTCTGTAACAGTTTAGAATACCAAGTCAAGGTCTTGGTAATCCTATCTTGTATTCTAAACTGTCATAGAAACTATGCATGGGATTTAAAAAAATGATAAACAGTGCAGGGAGGCCCTGGGACTTACTTAAATGGGAAAATGTTGCTCCTGAAGTCTTTTGAAAGAGGTAATTCATCCATTTTGCAACCAGGAAAGGGAGCCTGTAGAGTCTGGAGCTGATGAAAGGAACAAAACTAACTTCAGAGGCCGTATGTGGTCTTTCAGAGATTGTTGCAGCTTTCTTCCTTCTGTCCCTCGAAATGCAGAATGGGAAAACAACCTTGAGATATTTATTTATTATGTATTTATTTGCGGTATTTCCCCCCCCCCCCCCCCCCCGTCTCTTCTCTACCCCCGAAGGGGGACTCAGGACGGCTTACATTGGCAGTGATTCGATGCCGTTACATGTAGACAATTAAATACAATAACCATTAAATACAAAGAAACAATTAAGCCATTAAAATACATAAATACATAAACCATTAATTTAAATAGTACATAAAACATTAATTAAACAATAAAACCGTATCCTCATATATATCGTCTTGCCAATTCTGTTCCAACCAAAAGTGCTGATTTATGTATGCTGTCCGAAAGCCTGGTCCCATAACCACGATTTCAATTTCTTTCTGAAAGTCAGGAGGGATGGGGTCGATCGTATCTCATTTGGAAGTGCATTGCTGAATCGATCCTATAAGCTTTACTCTCACGATGTCATTTTTCTTTTCAAGGCAGCATGTATGGGCGTGGGACTTCTGATGACAAAGGACAAGTTTTGGCTGTACTCCATGCAATAGAAGCACTTCAAAAACATGTATATAACTTTTTTTTTTAAAAAAACGAATCCTTCCAATTGTTGAAATCTGCAACTGAAAAATAACACCCTAACAAAACAATTCTAACCATATTTTCTACCAGGACCTCCCTATGAATGTGAAGTTTGTCTATGAAGGTATGGAGGAAGTAGGATCCAATGGGCTGTTCACACTCGTTCAAGAGAGAAATAGTACGTTTTTTTCAGATGTTGATTACATTGTGATCACCGATACCTCATGGCTCAGTAAGAAACCTGGCATCACCTATGGAACGAGAGGGAACCTCTATTTCTTTATTAAGGTATGAAGTAGGAACCAGCATGTTAATCTACGGACACACTTCACACATATTTATCTATAATTATGACTTTTGTTGAAAAAAAATCTTTTTTTCCCTTCTCTTTCATTCTTTTTGACAGGTGGAATGTGCCAAACAGGACTTGCACTCCGGAAGTTTTGGGGGTGTGGTTCACGAAGCAACCAGTGACTTAATATTTTTGTTGAGTAAGTGGAGGATTCAACTAAATTACATATTGGCAGATCTGGTTCTGACAAATGAGAACCAAACTGCTACATGGATATATGAAATGTTTACTGCATTAGTCCATTATTCCATCATGCCAGGCCAATATCATTTCTACATTAATACTGGTCTGATACCAGGGAAGCTGATCTTTGTAGGAGTCTTAGGCCTGGCAATGCAAATCCTTCTGTATGCCCTGTTATAAACATTGGTTCTCTATAGTCAATCTAATGAATTCATCTGTAGATGGTAAGGCCATGCCATTGTAACATTACTCACATACACACGTTCATCTTGCTCCTGGTGAATATGCATAAGAGATTCGTATATGCTTCCATATTATTAAAAATAACTCCTATTAGTTAGAATGGCCATAAACTTTCCCTGATGGTCCAGTGGCACCCATTCACAATTGCATGTGACTATTTACATTGCAATGTTAGGTCTATCTACTTTCTCCTACAGGCTATATTGGTCTATAACTACTCCCAGGATCCATTTGATTTCTCTTCTTTCCTTTCCCCTGCATCCATTCCCTGCAGGTTAGTCAGAATTTCATGGCTCAATTAGTTATTTCTTAGTGAGTGCACTATCCGATATAATAAAAGACGTGTAATATAAAACAAGCCTAAATCACTCAAAGGCACCAGATCCCATTTAACTTCTAGGTTAAGCAGAGACAGCCCTGGCTAGTACTGGAACAGGAGACCACCAACAAATGCAAGTTGCTGTAGGCTATGTTACAGAAGATGGAACAAGTAGAGTCACTTGCCTAAGAAAGCCCTATGAAATTTATGGGGTCATAGAATCATAGAGTTGGAAGACACTTTGTGGGCCATCCAGTCCAACCCCCTGCCAAGAAGTAGGAAAATTGCTTTCAAATCACCCCCACAGATGGCCATCCAGCCTCTGTTTTAAAACCTCCAAAGATGGAGCCTTCACCACACTCCAGGGCAGAGAGTTCCACTGCTGAACAGCTCTCGCAGTCAGGAAGATCTTCCTAATGTTCAGGGGGAATCTCCTTTCCTGTAGTCTGAAGCATTGTTCTGCTTCCTAGTCTCCAGGGCAGCAGAAAACAAGCTTGTTCCCTCCTCCCTATGACTTCTCATCATGTCTTCTCTCAGCCTTCTCTTCTGCAGGCTAAACATGCCCAGCTCTTTAAGCTGCTTCTCATAAGGGTTGTTCTCCAGACCTTTGATCATTTTAGTTGCTCTCCTCTGGACACATTCCAGCTTGTCAACATCTCCCTTGAATTGCAGTGCCCAGAATTGGACACAGGATTCCAGGTGTACACGCCATACACGTCACAGATGGCTTGAAGGTGTGTGCTCACATACACAAAGTAGAACTTTAAAAATGCAAACATATTTAGCAAATTGGTAAAACACCCAAAGTATTTCAGTCTAGCCCTTTCTCCGACCGTAATAATTTAATATTATAGGAAATCCTTGCTGGAAATTCACATGTTGAAAATTTTTTTTTTCTGTGCTGCTTTGAAACTTACCACCTCTTCCCCAAGTTAAAAATAAGGAATCTCTATTTGGGAAACAATTTTAATCATATTTAAAAACTAAATATTGATGAAAGGTTATGTAATCTGGACAATATCTGTTGGATACATCTTTTCCAAACGTATACATTTGTTTTCAGACGCTCTTGCCGATTCTTCTGGTAAAATTCTGGTCCCTGGAATTTATGATGCTGTTGCTAATATTTCGAAAAAAGAAAAGGAATACTTTGAAAAAGCAGAATATAATCTCGAGGAGATAAAGGCCAAATTGGGAATAAAAAAATTTAAGTATAACACTAAAGTATGTCTTACATTGGTTTTGTAATGAATTATATTAACATTGAATTTTCTATCACTGGTTTCAGGATTCTTCTTTCATAGTAGTGTGGCAGTAGTGGTGAAACTATTCAAATTGCATGTACAATATGCCTCTGAAACCCATAGATGCGCAATCATATATAAGCAGAGGGTGGCCTAGACGTCTAACTTTAAAAGGTTCATCCATATGAAGACATTCTGCAACCTCTCTCTTTGCCCCTTATCTGCTTGCAAGCCATGCCTCCAAGTCTTTATTCCATTATCTTCCACTATGGATACCCAAGTAAGAAAAAAGGGGATATCAGATGATGTCAGGAAAAAGGATACAGCAATTTAACCTCTGCTAATGCATCCATTTTTCCTTTTTTCTTTTTTTGGAGTCTTGTCTACTTTTATCATCTTAATGTGTAAGTTTTGCAGATCTGGGTGAATTTAAAGACTTTGATCTGGTGCCATCATTTTAAATTTGAAATTGAACGACAGGCCATAAGATAAAGCTCAACTATGGTATGATTTACCTTATTTCTCTAGGTGATTTTAGGCCAGCCTGACTGCCAAATGTAATCCCATGATAATCTTACCGACACACCTTATGAAGTCAATGTATGAAATAAAACAAAGGGAATGTGAAGTGCTGTCAACCCTCCAAAGTGCTGCATAAAATTATGAAGCCTTATTGAGCCTTACATCTCTTTATTATTCTATTTTGAAATTTGAAACAACATATATCATAGTCTTCTAACAGCTGAGGTACTTATTGTAGGATAAGTGAGATGGAGATTTCTGACCGTGCAGAAGTCCTATAGCTGGAAATGTCTGGCAGGAATATGGTCAATAAAGCACATACCTGAGACAGATTTTTCCTTCTGACTCCTTGGTGCCATCACAAAAATAGTCAACAAGAAGTGGGTTGTTGTGAGTTTTCCGGGATATATGACCATATTCCAGATGTATTCTCTTCAGACGTTTTGCCTGTATCTATGGCAGGCATCCTCAGAGGTTGCGTGGTCTGTTGGAAATTAGGAAAATGGGGTTTATATATCTGTGGAATGTTCGTGGTGGGGGGAAAACATCTTGTCTCTTTGAGGTAGGTGGATGTTGCAATTGACCACCTTGATTAGTATTTAATGGCCTAGCGGTTTCAAAGGTCTGGCTTCTTACTGCCTGATGGAATCCTTTGTTGGGAGGTGATTAGCTGGCCCTGATTGTTTCTTGTCTGGAATTCCCATTTTTGAGCCAGACCTTGAACCTGCTAGGCCATTAAATGCTAATCAAGGTGGCCAATGGCAACATTCACACCTACCCCAAACGGACAAGAGTTTTTTCTCCCACCCTGGACATTCCACAGATATATAAACCCAATTTTCCTAGTTTCCAGCAGACCTCACAACCTCTGAGGATGCCTGCCATAGATGTGGGTGAAACGTCGGGAGAGAATGCTTCTGGAACATGGCCATACATCCTGGAAAACTCACAGCAACCCAATGATTCTGACCATGCAAGCTTTTGACAAAACAAGATCTATCAACAACCTCAATTCTCTTAAAGATCTCCACCAGTGTAACAGATTGTGACACAACTGGCTACTATGAATATATTTATGGATCTAGTGTTTTGTGGGTATATTTATATTAATCCAGTGTGTTTATAAATTAAGACCTATCTATAATACCTAAGCCAGTAACTACTGTTATAAATCTTTGTATATCAAAATATCTATAGATACAAGGAAACCTATTAATTTTGTAATAATGAATTCTATCTTATGTGAAATATTTGGCAGCCCTGAACCTCAGTTTCATTGGGTATTCTTTAATGTAGAATTATGAAGGAGAACTAGTGTTTTCTTTATGTTTTGACTATGGAGAATTGGTAGAAATTGTTATTGAGATAATGTGAAGGACTAGGTAGACTGTGTTGCCTTAAAAGTGTACCTCTATTCCCCTTTAAAAGGAAGAAATATTAATACAGAACACATGCTACCCATCTCTGTCCATCCATGGAATTGAAGGAGCTTTCTCCGCATCAGGAACTAAAACTGTAATCCCTGCAAAAGTAATTGGGAAGTTTTCCATACGTCTGGCTCCCAAAATGGACCCCTCAGTAGTAGAGAAACAGGTAAGAACAATGAGATACTTTGAAGTAAACAATGTCTTTATTCTCTAATACTTTAATCGATTAGGTTTCTTTTAATTCGTGCACCATATCTAGGAACTTGAGTTAATATACTGATAGTATGATGTTATCTATCTTTATGGAAAGTTAAGTTTCATGGTGATTAACAGGATTTCTTATGTGTTAGGGGCCTTTTTGACAACCTAAGAAGTCCTATTAATCACAATGAAACTTTTAAGCACTACATGACAATGGATCACATTCAATAAGCTTTACTGCCAAATAAGCATGCATAATCGTGACCAATTCATCGCAGTCCTGTAAGTAGTTGCTTAGATGTAAGCCTCATTCACTTCAATGGAAAATACTCATATCTGTTGGTAGTGCTTTGATTGTGTAGTGCTACTGGACTGGATGGCCCTTGTGGTGTTTTCCAGTGGTACTCACTTACGAATGAATTCATAGAATTTCACTGTCACTTGCTTGGTTGCAGAGTATATGTGAGCTTCTCTGCAAAATTGATTTTGTACTTGTTTTTCTATGAAAAAATCCAGAAACTTCAATGAAATAACATTAAACAAGAGAACAAACATTACCCTTTATTAAGAACTTCAAAGTACAAACTATGACCAAAATATGTCCAAAAGTTCAACATCAGAACTGTAGAACATGACAAAAATGGGGAAATGGCAGATTATTATCTAGTAATTCACTTTTATAGGTAGACAAGTAATTGTGTTGTTGTATTATATTTAATTTTCACTATGGACAAAATGGAATAAACTTTCACTCTTATTTTCCTAAGGTTATTGAATACTTGTATATGAAATTTGAAGAACGAAACAGTCCTAACCGGATTAACATAACATGTGTCATCAAAGCAAAGCCATGGGTTTCCACTGATACAGAAGGACCACTGTATTTAGCAGGGAAAAATGCAATTAAGAAAGGTATGCTTATTTTACTGTGAAAAATTACAGAACTGCATATAAGTATTACTTCTTTTCGTGTAATTTTATTATTTTAAGTTGGTAGCATAAACTAACTCTTGCTAGTTTTTGTTGCAATAGGAAAATGGAACAAAGTAAGGTAATCATGGTGTTTCTAAAAGCATGACTGTAGGAAGTTGGCCATAGTCACACCATGAGATTCCTAGATTTTTAAATTCATTCCTTAAATAATCAAATCCACAAAAGTTAGAACTGCACATGAATGTATTATACATTTAGAAGGAGCATTATTGTTGAAGAGTATTTGTGAAGTAGTGTGGAGCACTTTCAATGTTCTTGACTTGTAACTCCTGGCATTGCTTATCATTGGCTATCTCTTTATGATTTTCAGTTCAACATCATCAGGAAGGCCATTTTCCCTATTCTCGGCTTCGAAAATACTACGGTCAACATTAGGACAAAATCATTTTTACTACCAAATATGTAGTTGAGGTTGTTTCTTGAAATTTGTTAGCTTTGCACAGGATTGCATCTCCAAATCAGAAAGTCGGCAGACTTCACATTCATATTTCAATGTTATAGTCCTCAAAACACACATTCTTCAAAGTGTGTTCCTCTTTGTTTTACTCTATCAGTGGTTCTGAACCTGTGGGTCCCCAGGTGTTTTGGCGTACAACTCCCAGAAATCCCAGCCAGTTTACCAGCTGTTAGGATTTCTGGGAGTTGAAGGCCAAAACATCTGGGGACCGACAGGTCGAGAACCACTGCTCTAAATCCTCCAAAAATTCTTATCACAGAGTTGTTGGCAGTATAGTATCTGTTAAGAAGTGGGAATCTATCTTAGGGAATTTAATTTGCTTTTCATGTTAATGTTTCTCCCTTTAGTGTTTAACAGTGAAGCTGACTTCTTCCGAGAAGGTGGAACAATTCCAATTGGGCCACAGTTCTATGAAGTAACTGGGAAAAGTACCATGTTTTTAGGAATAGGAGGACCAGATGATGCTCACCATGGGCAAAATGAAAAACTGGACAGGTATTCTGAATCTTTATCGAAATATTTATTCTTATAATATTTATTATTTATTATTTACATCACTTATATACCGCCCATATCAGCCCGCAGGCAACTCAGGGCGGTCTACATATTGGCATCAATACAATACAACAGCAAAAACAATTAAGTGCATTTAGACAAAAAAAAAACAATAACAATTTAAAAAGAGCTATATCCTCTCATTCCAATCCTCATCCGTTTCATCGTCTTGGCCGTTCCTGGGTCATTCTCCATCTCAAGCTTGACTATCTATTCTGGGGTTCCGAAGGCTTGCTCAAAGAGCCAGGTTTTTACTTTCTTCTGAAAAGTCAGGAGGGAGGGGGCTGATCTAATATCCCTAGGCAGGGAGTTCCACAGCCGAGGGGCCACCACAGAGAAGGCCCTGTCCCTCATCCCCGCCAAGCGTGTTTGCGAAGCAGACAGGATCGAGAGCAGGGCCTCCTCAGATGATCTTAACTTCCTGGAGGGTTCGTAGGAAGAGATGCGTTCGGATAATAGTATAGAAAACACTTTAAAAAAATCAAAGTATGATTCCTATAGAGCAAATTGAGGTTTTGCTGTGAAACTTTACTTTCTATAACAGGCATGGGCAAACTTAGGCCCTCCAAGTGCCTTGGACTTCAACTCCTACAATGCCTAACTGCACATCAGCTGTTAGGAATTGTGGGAAGTGAAGTCCAAAACACCTGGAGAGCCTAAGCTTGCCCATGCCTGATTTATAAGCTTTGACCAAAAAGTAGAAGCAAAACTTCCAAGAAAATTGTCCACTGATAATTGTGTTTACTTATTGATATTTTCATCATTCTTTTTTTCCCAACCAGTAATTGGGAAAAAATTACTTCAAACATTATTTCAAAATTAACACCTCATTTTCCATTTGCCTGTTATTTACACCTTATTTCTCTTCTTATTTTTAGATACAATTTCATCGAAGGAACCAAACTCTATGCTGCCTTAATTCAAGAACTTGCTTCCCTCTAGTGAAAATACATAGAATAAAATCCTCTGAAATATATTTACGTATCCACTGTTTTGAAAGGTCCTTTTTTAAAGTTTCTTTTCTTTTAAAAAATTAAACACTATAATGATAGTACTGAAATAATGTTGGGACATCTAAATAAATAAAGATAATTGAGCATTGTGATCTATTTGCAATAAATGTCTGGGCTTGGTCAGCACATATGTTCTGACAAAATAAGTTTGGGGAAAAAGGACCAATGTATTTCCTTTATACCTATATTATTTGTTGACAGATAAAGAAATATGTAGGCTCAGTTTACTAAACTCTGTTCAGATGCTATTTCATTTCAGTGTAAGCTATGTGAAAACAGGACTTGATGTTGATGGAATGAATATGCTTGGACTCCAAAACCAGTAGAATGAATAGAAAATACTTAGAAAATGTAAAGTATAGCTTTTAGTTGAATGTAGATAGATGGCACTCTAGAAGTGAGGATCCAGACAGGTAACTCTGGAGAAGTGAGGAGACATGCCTCAGCAAGCATCACCCAATGAGAAAAGAAGCAGAGCAAAAAGATTCGTTTCTGGTCCACTCTATTTCTCCTATGTGTTTTCTGTTTCCTAGATTTTTTCCCCCCTTTTTTTCTTAGAATATCAAAAATATTATCCCCTTTTTGAAATACAATAAAAACTCATGTAACAGCAGCATCCCTATCTGTAGGTCTGCTTGTCTGAGTCCAGGAAAACATGGTCCCTCCAGGAGCTTACTAGATCTTTCAGGAAATTCTATGATATACCACAGAGCTAGAGAACCTAGGAAATTCCTAGAGATGATACCTCTCTAGATCCTCCAAAGCAATTCTTTGGCATGCCGAGACCCAATTCATGTAATTTGATGGTGGTCATATGCATGGCTTCATATAACTGTGGTTCAGGTCAGGAACATATATTCCATGGATACAGGGGTTTTACTGTTTTATGATCCACTCAACTACTTCAGATCACCACTCTTTAATCCCACTGCATGAGTACAACAGACCTACAGAAGATACAACGATGACATTACTTTGTCCTTCTCCAGTCCCTAAATTAATGCCATAAAGTACTGCTGCGGCATTCGCTTGATCTTCTATCGTAGCCATGAGTTGGTTGTTTTTCAATTCATCAACACGATTAAACAATTCTACACTCTACCGTTTAGATTATATCACTTCCAGAATATTTATACAAATATGACACTCTATACTGCCTATTGTAAGACTGCTCTGCGTCCCCTTGGGGGTCAGAAGGGCGGGGTATAAATACTGTAAATAAATAAATACCAACAGCTTACATGGTATGATTGCAGTACTACTCATTGGATTCCATTCATATATTCTCATGAATACGGGGGCCCATACCGACAGTTTCACTATGGAACAAAATTTGAAAAAAGAAATCTGATCCTGGTTTGAAAGTGTTATTTCCTGTTTAACTGTGTAGTACTTACTTTGAAAGTAGTTGTTATATTCCAAAAGCTTCGTTGTTGTGGATCTATGAGATATGAATTGAAAAACTATAGCAAAATGTGCTGCAGGATTTCCCACAAAAATAAAGTTTTTGCAGTTCAATAAACTTTTCCCAAGTTTTTATGATAGAACCAATTAGGAAATGACACTTATAACTCAGGGATAAAAATCGTGCTCCACAGTGTTATTAAAAGAAGCAAAGGATGTTGTTATTTACAACATTGATTAAAACTTTATCCACAGGACCTACCAGTCCATAATTATTTGGGTGTAGAATAGACTGTACTATGTCCTCAAGAAAACAGAAGAGATATCACCATCTGCATTTTAAACACATGAGCCTCTTTTATTAACATATAGTATATTATATAAAATGTGTTAGCCAGTTACATTTTAAACATCTTTTAACCCAAAATAAGACGTGCTAATATAATAAAGAGTTTTTGTTTACTCATTCAGTTGCTTCCGACTCTTTGTGACCTCATGGACCAGCCCACATCAGAACTCCCTGTTGGCCGTCACCACCTCCAGCTCTTCAGAGTCAAGCCAGTCACTTCAAGGATACCATCCATCCATCTTGCCCTTGGTCGGCCCCTCTTCCTTTTGCCTTCCACTTTCCCCATCATCATTGTCTTCTCTAAGCTTTCCTGTCTTCTCATGATGTGGCCAAAGTACTTTATCTTTGATTCTAATATCCTTCCCACCAAAGAACAGGACTTTATTTCCAGAAGTATGGACTGGTTGGGTTTTCTTGCGTTCCAAGGCACTCTCAGAATATTCTTTCAGAATAAAGAGTACGAATGGTAATTAGAAAGTGGATAACATCATACATTTATGTGTTCTCTCCGCCCTCTGCTGGCAGCAGAATTATTTACAATTTCAATCTGAAATCCAGGAAACGTTCTGGATAGCCAGACAGGAAAACAGAAAATCTACAAACTATGCCATTAGCATGTAGAAAATGCATCCTTTCAAGGCTCTATTAGATTTTTCATTAGGCACAGATGTTTAAAAATAATACGGAAGAAAAGTGGAGATTTTAGCACCAAAGACCTTCGTTTTATCTCAGATGTTACTTAAATGATCACTTGAGATGGTCAAATGCTCCGAAATGTCCATAGCCTTCCAAACATCTAGTATTCTCAGAATATAAAGCCGTGACAAGATTGCCAAAACTTTGTGTTTCAAGGATTTATTTACTACAGAAAATATAGGAAGCAAAAAAAGCTCTGGATACTGTTTTACTGTTTGTTTTGTGATTTTTGGAGACAATGTTCAGAACATCATTCCAAAACTGATGAACCTTGGTGCATTCGAAGCACAAGTGACTCTTTTTGTGAAGATCTTATCAGAGCTTTGTTTCTATCAAAGTAATAGGCAGGACTCATTCAAGATGCTCTTGCCATTAAGGAGAGGGAGGCAAACACCTTCTACTCAGTGGTAAATATTCACTAGTATTCATACAAGATTTAGGAAGGGTAGTATATTGTTAATTATTTACCAAAGCAATGCTTTGTATCCTAAATCAAACAAATGTCTGATTTTCCCATTCTTCTCTCCATGAGCCTTCCATATTTGTGCACTCCCCTCTTGCTTTAGCAGCTGGTTATGTTTTTCAAATACCACTTGAAGCATAATACATTTTTTTTGTTCTTGTTATGTCCCTTCATCTCTTTGAAGTTAAGATTTTACTTAATCTTGCCAGTTTTGGAGGAGTAAGACAGCAGTTTAAGTACACATTACCTATCAGGGTGATATGGATTTAAGTGGGAAGACACTTCCATGGACAATGAAAAGTTTTGAAATCTAGAAAAACATGAAAAAGCAGATAACTAGTCTGCAAACTACCCAAGCAAAGGGAATGATTGTGGATAAAACAAACAAAAAAAGCATTAGGCTCTCCACTTCCTCTGGAGTTAGGGGTATAAGACCCCATAGAAAGGGGAAAATGTGTTTTTATTTAAACACGAGATGACATCTCCCTAGATTTTACTCTAGGGCAACTCTATGGACAACTTCTAACAGGTTGGATGACCATATATAGAGAAAATATTAATCAAATACACAAAAAACTAAACTTGTAAATATGGTGGATCAAGCGTACATAGAAGTGAACCCACTCAACTGAACTCCTTTGTACAAATATGCCAAAATGAACCATGAAGCAAACCCAACGGGTGGGACCATGCATCTCAAATAGATTATTGCAACACGTGCTACGTGTGGTTGCCTTTGAAGACTGTTTGGAAGCTTCAAATAGTCCAATGGGTGGCAGCCAGATTCGTCACCAGAGCGGCGTACAGTGAGCACACAAGCCCCCTGTTATGTAAGCTCCACTGACTGCCAGTCTGCTTCCAAGCACAATTCAAAGTGCTGTCTTTAGCCTATAAAGCCCTAAACAGATCTGGCACAGCTTACCTGTCTGAACGTATCTCCCTCTATGAACCGTAACAGAGATTAAGATCTTCTGGAGAGGTCCAGATCTCGATCCCACCTGCTTTGGAGGTGCAGTTGGTGAGGACAAGAGACAGAGCCTTCTCAGTGGTGGCTCCTCAGCTCTGGAACTCCCTTGTTGTTGTTCATTCGTTCAGTCGTCTCCGACTCTTCGTGACCTCATGGACCAGTCCAC